TTTTAAATACCGACTCATTGTCACCCTTCCATCCTGCAGATCCCAGCCTCAGTGAAGCAGTACAATATTTCTCCAGTCGACAGCGCCAGCATCCTCCTGGTCATTGAAGGTGAAGCCACGGGAACCTCGCCTGCTGCTCTCTCCGACCTCACACTGACGCGGGGCAGCGTCCTGCTCGTCTCGGCCAACGAGAGCGTCTCTCTACACATCACCTCGCAGTCGGGGATGACCCTTTTTCGAGCCTGCTGCCTTCTGTAGTTGTGGGTCTGTGGTCGTTAAAGCTCATACTACCTGTTTGTTTGTATTTGTGATTTGAAGTGTCGAGGTTTGTCCTTGTGTTTTACCTGAGCTCGATGACTCGTGCACTTTTTACAAGACAGTATAGAAGCTAAAGGAGCCTCATCGGTACCTGCTGCTCCCCTTTAACCCCTAAAATGTAACATGTGCCCTCTCTGCCACCTCCAGCACTCTTCTCTAGCTTTAAACTCCAGTTTTAATCCAATGCTGATGGATTTATTGGTTCTTACCCTTTTCGTGTGTGCAAGTACTCATAAAACACAGAAGATCTGCACATCCAAAATTCTTTATAGGTGCTGGATAGAGGGCAGAATAAAAAGTAAAATATGTCTGTTTAGTTGCTGTTTTGGTGTTTAAGGTCCTTAGTTTGCTCAAAAATAGAAATCTGAACATCTGCCGTCCCAGGACAAGTGAAGAACATCCAACATGATTAAAAGTTTTCAATTAGCTGAAGGTGGATTGTAAAAATATTGGTGATAACTGGAAAAAAACATCAAGTACAGTTAATTTCTCAATTTTTTTCCTGCATGTTATTTTATACCCTGAATTATGAAGGTGACACACACTAGCTGTAATGAACTAAACAGCATTGTGGGGCTGATGTTTACTGTTTTACACTTCACCACCACTCAGTGCTTTGAACAGCCAGACAACCAACCTGTTAAGGACAACAAAGCACATCTGTTTTATATGCCAGCTACTGCGTTCCAGGATCAGTGTTGTCATTTTAACTTTAGCTCAAACTGGAGAATATCCACCTTTCAAACTTAATTTTAGGCAAAAAAAAAAAAAGAAAGTAAAAGAAAAACATTAAAAAGTACAAAGTGTGATACTGAGATGCCTGTGCATGTTTTAGAGCAGTAGCACTCTCCAGAGCACCTTCTGTGATTACTATATCAGTGCTACAAACCAATCACAGTGAAGCTAAGCCTGCTGAGTGTTACTGCTTCTGTTACCAGCGCATGTTTTACAGTCTGGAAACATCCCGTCAAAGTGGTGAAAACTCATGAGTATTAAAAATGAATGAATAAAAATAAATAAGAAGCGGGCATGAAGAGCCATTTCCATCTCTGTCCCATAAAGCATGACGATGTGGCAACCATGTAGGGGTGTAACAATTCTGAGACCGAAACCATGATACAAACGTCCACCATACTGTGTCATGTAGGTACTCTGGGATTCACGTAGAGCAGTTAAAGCATGCTAACTTTATGAAAGATGTAATAAAGATTGTTCAAGTAACAAGCAGGGACGCCTGCTATTTGTCGACTATACATAAAGTCCAGAAGTACTAGAAGTGCAGACTTTAATTAGTGCTTTAATTGGATGCAAGTTAACTGTTGATTTGAAGAGTTTGTTCAGTCACCCATAACAGGTGGGAGTACGTTTTGCATTGTGCTAATCTGGATGTATCAAAGAACTTTTGCACTGATTTGATTGATTTGATTGGTAATTTATTTCAACATGTGAACAATATACAAGTACATTTAGAAAAGAAAATAAGAAAGAAAAAAATACTATACAAATTACATACAAAAAAACCCGTTCTGATTAATTTACATGTTGAAAGGGAGTGGGAAGCAGTACACACTTATTTAATCCCACCCCTTTTCCATAAATTATCAGTTAATATTTAATCAGCTTCCTTACTGATATAATTTGTAATAAAAATAGCAAACAGATTTCTGATATACTTTATACTATAATATCACATCATGAGTTTTTTGTTTGTTTGTTTTTAAATAGAGACATTCACTTAATTTCAATATTTTCCTTTTCTTTATCGTTCGAGAAGATCATATTTTCATAACTCTTTTTGAACAGTTTTATGTTTGGACATTGCTTTAATTCCATATTCAGCCTGTTCCATAGTTTCACTCCATGAACAGAAACACAAAAGCCTTTTCTTGTAGTACGTACCTTCATTGTTTTGAAGTTACAAAAACCCCTTAAATTATAACTTCCTTCTTTCAAAAAAAACATACTCTGAATATTACCTGGCAGTTCTTTATTTTTTGCTTTGAATAGAATTTGTGCTGTTTGGAATTTCACTAGATCGTCAATTTTCAGTATTTCAGACTGCAAAAATAGTGAGTTTGTATGTTCCCTATAACCTGCATTGTGGATGATTCAAATTGCTTTTTTTTTTTAAGAGTAAAAAGTGAATGTAATGTGGTTTTATAGGTATTGCCCCAGACCTCTGCACAATAGCTTAAGTATGGTGAAACCAGTGAACAGTATAGAATATGAAGTGATGTTCTGTCGAATACCTGTTTTGCCTTGTTTAGTACTGCAATGCTTCGTGATACTTTGGAATGAATATATCTTACGTGAGCTCTCCAGTTAAGTTTTTCATCTATTATTACCCCCAGAAATTTATTTTCACTGACTATTTCAATATCAACACCATTTATTTGAATCTTTGCATTTGTATTTAAACTACTATTTCCAAATAACATAAGTTTAGATTTATTCAAATTTAATGATAATTTATTTTTATCAAGCCAGAACTTCACTTTACTTATTTCATTAGTCATATCCTCCAATAAATTCTGCAGATCATCACCAGAGCAAAAAATGTTTGTATCGTCAGCAAAGAGAACCATTTTTAATACACTGGACACTTTCTTCTTGGGGAATCAAATGTTTTTGGGACAACAGCTGAAGCTGTCGGACAGGACGAGCATTGAGACTGTCTGAGGGTATATAGAGCTGAACGGGTAAACTTCACTTTGCGGAAAAAAGTGAGGGAACTCATGCAACCTAATGGATTTTTACACCATTTTCAAATTTTGAAATCACTCTGACATGTTTCCAGCTATTGGTTGTACTCCTCATTGTCCTGTTAGCTGTTAGTAGCGTAGTAACTTGAAGTGTTACATTAGGAAGGGTATCTGGCATAAAAACTGTGCCAAATCAAAAACTCAGATCCATCCGCTGTGGCAGCATCTTGGGGAAAAAAGAAAGCAGCTGTAAATACCTCATTCAGCAGTTTTCAATGTGCATGAATTCACGCAAATAACTCACGGCAATACTTCACTTTGTCTTTGGTGTGAATGCAAAAAAAAAAAAAAAGGTATGAACCTTGTAGTTTGGGAGAATTGTTACACCTCGAGAATCATAAATGCATACCGAGTCAAACATCTTGTTTGTCAACTAACAATTATCTAAACCTGCTTTAAGGTACTTATTGTAATTTCCTCTGTTTTGAAAGTGTTTTTAACACCTTTTAAATTTAAATGAAGCTTTCAGCAGAATGTAAACAATTGATCGGCATGACTTTACATCCAAAACACTGATATATTTTTTTGTTGAAGAAATATAAAGAGAACCTTAACCAGGGCTGGACGGCAATTTTGTGTAATACCAATTTGTACCACAAGATGGTGTATCAGCGTAACCTTTGTTTAACCAGGCAAGCCATTAGAACAGTTTGTACAAAGGCATTTACTGGTGAAATACTGCCCCCTGGTGATAAAGGTTTTAGTTAACATTTGCTGCAGTTTAATTACAAAAAGTACCTTTAAAAGATTTTTTTGTCTTTTTGTACAGTTGTACAACAAAATGCTGCATTGAATTTTATACCTTATTGTATTGGAGAGATTTTTTGACTGTTGTTTGTAACGATTAATCAGCACGTGGCGATACATATGAAGTAAATGGTTTTACATGTTTATTATAATAGCTAAACAGGTTTCTTTTCCTAAAATATAATCTCTTTTGGTGACCACTTTACAACATGTTGGTGCAGTAGTAATAGTAGATTATTTCGGTAATGGTGCAAACTTCTGTGTAACTTTCCGGTTCTAGTACCAGGGTCGATCTGAATTCACTCAATAATGATGTGCACTTTCTTCTCGTAGTAGTTTTTATAGGCTCTCAACTCAAATATTCAATGATAGGTCCTCTATCAGCCTGCCAACCTACCACTGAACACGTTTTTCAGAGTGAGTGAAGCCGTGTTAATGCTTTATTATCACGCTTGTGATGTAGGTTGATTGTCCCCAGTGCAGATGCGGTAAACCTTTACTTGTTTACTGTTGTTTTTTTTAAAAAAAGAAGAGTATTAAGAAGGATGTGAAGTTATTTTTAGATCACTTTTCTTGATTACCTCAAATCATCCTTCTGTAGCTCAAAACACTGTTAACGAATCATCTCTTGTTTGCCATGTTTTCATGTTATCTTTGTTTTGTGGAGTACTGTATTTAATGTAACTTCTGATTTAATGATCACGCACCTTTTTGTTGCCGATCTTGCTGTAAGTCACATTTTCATTTGAATACTGGACACCTGAAGTTTGTGGCTCTTTTTTTCCTTACTGTAAACTAATGACTTTCAAATACAGTTTGCATTGTTTTCTTTAACCTTTTATGGGAACATTTACTAGAATATGTCTGTAGTTAGGGCATGGTTGAGTATTTTTGAATGTGGTGATGCTGTAGCATGGTACTGCAGAGAACATGTATGTAAAAACGGTTTAATAAAGCCAGGTTCTGTTAACTGTATGGTCTGAACTTGTTTTTTATTTCCTGCCTCTGGAGCATGAACATGAACAACACACACAGACTTTTACAGCCCCCCCCCCCCCCCGTGTGACAGTACTGTATTGTAGCAAGTATTTCTATTATATCATAGAAATGTTTGTTATAACACAATGTCATAGAGTGGCAAATGTGTAGCAGACTGGGGTGACCTGATGATGTTCTCCACAGCCTCCCTGGAAAGATCAAAGCCTTAAGAGAAGGGTGTGTCTGTTATGCTCTTGAGGATATTTGAATGGGCAGCAGGTCAGACCCTGGACACGCTTATGAACACCTCAGTGTCAGCCCTGAGGAGCGAGAGGGGAGGGCGGTGTAGGCATCTCTGATTGGAATGTTTTACATGCTAGTGAGCAGAAAAGAGCATGTGAGAGTATACAATCTGGAACAGAGTAGAAATGCAACACATTTATTAATGTCGAATATAGCTTTCTATAGAACACATTGAAACATTAAGTATATGAAGTTTCTTTTGTCATAAAGCTGGTAGCAAATATCTGAATATAATAATGAAAGTAAAGCTGCTAGGTCAACGATGAGTAAGGCATTTTAAAATTTACCCCACACTGCCTAAGGCTCGACCACTTATGTTGTGTTGTAGAAAAGTGCAATAAAGCTTTATTTCCTTATATCCAGTGTACAGGTTTTCGTTATGTTTACTTATTTTCTTTTAATATTAATTTCTTAAGTCTCAGATAATGAATTAAAATTGTATCAGGTTCTGTTATGATCCTCCGTAACCGTCACAGTCTGTTTGAAGTGCTCCCACAGGGGGCGCTGTCCTGGTAGTCTGCAGTGCACTTTGGCAACTGTGACAGGTGTTTTGTCGTCCATGGTGTCCAGAGTAAATCTGTGCCTGCAGATCACTTCCGGCTTGGGCCGAAGAACATCATACAGTGCCTGTAAAGCCCGCACGTCCTCCAGAGCATCATGGGCCTTGTAGCTCACGCCCAGCAGCTTCCTGACCAAGTTCTCCTGTCGAAAACTCTCCAGCCCATAGTCCTTCAGCACCTCACGTGACAGCGGCAGAGTGTCAACGTAACCTGAGACCAAAGACTCAAACTCTGCTCTGAGACCAAATTCATCTAGCGCGCGAGCCAGAAGCACACAATCAAAGCGCCGAATGTTGTGGCCGACGACGAGAGGGCGGCCGAGCATCTGAAGGAAAGCTATAAAGGAGACGAGCACCTCTCTGAGGGAGTTGGTGAGAACAGGCTGCCGGTGCAGGTACAGCCTCTGCCTGTGAACCTTGAAGCCAGTCACCTTGGAAGCTCCTTGCTGCATTCGACAGCGAGGGACGACGTAGAGGTTCAGCGAGTGGCCTCCACTCACCGCAGCCAGCTGGACGATCTCACAATTGGGATCTAGAGGAATAAAACATGAACACTTTCATGTGCTTCAAATTTAAATGACTACCTGAAGATTTTGTTTGTTTGTTTTTTAGCAGAAACAAGAGCAATTTTAAGAGCCAATAAATGAAAGTAAAATAAATAAAGAAGAAACAGAAAAAACACCCTCAAATAAGTTAGTAATTGTTGATGTTGCACAGTTTGTTTTCCACTGTGCAGCTTCCTGCAGCAGACATGGGCTTAGCATAAATGGGTAAAAAAAAATAACTACAAATAATAAACCTGAGGGACATCTGTTTGTGTTTTGTCTTTGAAAGAATAAATAACTCAGCCATTATACTGGAATATGATTTTTAAATAATCAAATATCAGTCCAAATCTATATTATAGCTTCAACTTTCTGTTCTTAGCTCACAGGAGTGGTCTTTTGCTGCTGTAGCCTTCAAGGTTCAACATGTTGTGCATTCAGAGATGCTGTTCTGCACATTTTCTGCTATTTAATAGTTGTTTTTTTCTTTTAAAGAAAAGAAAAATGACCAAAAACAAACAAACAAATGAGCTATTGAATATTTTGGCTCCATTTATCTTCCATACATGTGTGCACGGTGCGCTTAGTGGGTCAACCGTGTGTGTCTTTCCAACTTTTAACCGCAGTTTACAACATTATCACCATGATACAGTTTTATCGGTCATAATAACTCACGTAAAACAAAGTTAGAGTATGACCGTACCCAGTCCAGTCGTCTCCAGGTCAAAGAAAACCAGCGACTGTTGAGCGCCTTCAGCTTCCTCAGTTTTTTGCATCACGAATAAATAACTTCCGTTAGCGAGAGCAACGGAGAGGTTAGCTAAAAAAGTCCAAAAGCGACTATCATCATTGGCCTAAAGTGTTTAGCGATAAAACATTACATTTGGTCGGCACAGTTTTACTGTACACCGAGTCTGTCAAGCTTTCCCCGCCATGTTTTAAAGCACCTGCGCAGTGACCGACCGGAAGCTTGAAAGTTTCAAAACAAAAGCCTCGACGAAAAGGACCATATTGGACCATACAATGAAGATGCATGAAAAACACAACTAAAAAAACTCGCACGCTTAGGTATAACATGCAACTGAAAACCGAGAAATAAAGAACCTTCCCATTTAACTTTTTTTTTGTTATTTCTTCCTCTTTGGAGCTAAAAGAGGCCACACATACACATGAGATGTCAATGGAAACCCCAGGATGTCCTTATTTTGTACATCAGGACTTGGTAGGGTAGCTTAAATAAGTCAAATGATATAGACCAAAAACAAATGTCCATTAGAGAGGACATAAATGAATAGGCTGGTTCTAAGGAGGATATATTTGTTTGACATACTGATTTTTTTCTGCGTGAGTCATGCAAAAATTTTGAATAGTAGAATGCTCCCATCTATAAGAGACAAAAAGATAGCAAGTCATCTATACAAATTACAAGCTATGTTGGGCTCCACCACTGACTAGAAAAAATAAAATAAAATAAATCTTTGATATAATCATTGGTGTTAACCAGCAAGCCCAAGGTTCACAACTATGCCCTCTAGAGAAGAAGATGTGTGTAATTGGTTCCATATGCTTGTCTGTCTGTCTCTTTGTTAGCAGTCTAGCTTCTACAGTTTTCAAGAAATGAAGAGTCAGCTGAGACAGGATACGGTGCCGTTTAAAGGTGTCATTTCCTGCTCTTATAGAAACCTGGGATAAAACAGAATCAGTTGAACCTTAGAAACCACAGAGAGACACTTTGTAGTAGCAGATCTTTTATTAAGGCTGAGAAAGATGTGGCTAATGCTCTTTTTTTAAAAAAACAAAATATTTTGCAGACCCATTGCATTTTGGTCCACAGAGGCTACAAAAAGGCATCAATGAGATCAAAGGGAAACAGAAAAGGAAGATTGCACTGCATGTGACACATTACATTACATTTAACAGTAAATAAGTTAAATCTTGATAACTTGTGACCACACATACTCCATTTTATTTTCCACTGACCTGAACATAACAGCAAATAAAAGGTCAGCTTTAACATTATTTATTTTATTTATTAAAATTATTTAATATTTTTGCTTTGTCCCGAAGGTACAATTGGAGACGCTAAATGTGGTAGGTCTCCAGGCCTTGTACAGCTCCTGCAGCATTTTGGCATCCTCCACAGCATTATGAGCGTCGTAGCTTTTTCCCAGGAAGCGCCGGACCATGGACTCCTGGGAGTAACTGCTCAGACGAAACAGGTCCTTGCTAAGCAAGAAGGTGTCCAGGAACCCAGACACCACCTGTTGGAACTGCTGCAGGAGGGAGCAATTCTGCAGCCACCTGGTGAGCACAGGTGCATCAAAGCGCTTTGCATTGTGGGCCACCAGCAGCACTGGACGGTGGAAGGAGCGCAGGAAGGCGATGAAATTAGTGAGAGCCTCCGCAAGAGGGATGGTGTCCACGGGAACCCCGTGGAGAAAGAGGCGGTTGTTGCTGACGGTGAAGCCCGTGACACGTTTTGCGCTCTCTGTGAGAGGCTGGCGGGGGAGGATGTAGACATTAAAGATCCTGTCTTCACAGATGGCGCCGAGCTGAATGATGTCACACACCGTGGTGTCTGAAAATAGAAGACGGGACAAAAGGAAAAACAGATAACCACAAGTTATAATAGAACAGTCTTTTTGCAGAAAGCAGTGCAACATGAACAGGATGATAGCTTCCCATTTAAAAGCAATAGTTTGTCAGGTTATAATGTTAATATTTCTATCCTTGTCAAGACTTAGATGAGAAATCTTACACCACTCTTAACATCTGTCACTCACATGGATACCTTGACAGAAATGCTGAAAACAGTACTGGTGGGCAGATCTATCGCAATATCGATACCAACACTGGTATTGGATCGATACTAACACAATCGTATGTAGTTAAAATCCCAACACTGTTGTGTTGGTGTTCATTAAAATGTACTCAGGAATAAGCAAATTTATGATAATTCAGCTAATAAATCATGACACACAGCTCTGACCTACATAAGCTCCCCTTATAAGTTAAAGGTATCGGTATCGGCAATACTGCTCTTAATCCACTTGGTATTGGATCGATACCAAAATTTACAGTATCGCACAGCACTAGAAAACAGACAGTCTTGAGGATGCTACAGAGCATGCAAGTTTTTGTGTGGTTAGTTTTCAAACAAATGGGAGAGGTGCCTAGACATACATTTGTGCAGGAGTTGGGGCTCGAACATTCTCTTTGTTGTGCTGGATGATAGTTTCTGCACCTTTCAGCTTACGCCTGATAGGGATAACCCTTCTTTCTATTTTGTGAACTGAACAGTTTTTCCTTCACATTTCAGGGCTGCTTCCAGATTGAAATGACTGAGTGTGAATCAGAAGATGATGGAAAACAGCTTATTGTATTTTCTGGATGCAAGTCCCCTGGAGAATTACGCAACATTAAAAAATGGCCGGTAGATGTATTAAACATAAATAAATAGACAAAAACACATAATGTTTGTTATCAGGAAGTGATAACAGATAATCACTCCCTATTTGTAGATTACAGTGAAAATGAAAATATCATCAGCTGCTGTTGTTAATCTTCAGCTCTCTGCGTGCTGTTCTTTTTGTCCTGCAGGTAGGGCTGTTTGCTGATCCCGCTTATACTGACGTGAGTAACACGCTTCTCTTTAATGGACTCCTGCCAAGACGTGTGACACCAACATGCCTGGCCTATGAGGCCATTCTCACACCCACGCTAGCTCAAATCACAGAAACGAAATCAGCATCTGGTTTCATCTATGGCGTGTCTTATGTCCCAACGATGACAGGAAATATAATTTTGACTGACTTCCTAACTGAACAGTGCTGTGGTTTCCACTGAGTAATCTGCTGAACTCTTTCTCAAATGAACTGCAGCCATGCAGTCCTGAAACACGAGTGTGTATTTAATGTTAAATGTACTGTTCATATAATGCAGAACATGTATGATACTAGCACGTGGGCACAGCTGTGGTTTCTGTGCTTTTTGTTTGTTTGTTTTTTGTTTAAAGCTGCCTGACACTTTTTATAATCCCTCAAAGAGAGCTTGAGGAAACGGAAGGCTGACAAGTGTAAGATTAGATTAGACAGCAGTAAAAACAGAAACTACCACCCTCCTTATCGCGTAGAGTAAGGGCTTTACATGATGTGCACACGCGTGTGTGTTGGCAGGTAAAGCCTTCAGATTGGATTGGAAAGACATGATGGATAATATCAGTACATTTTTTTATGTGTGAACAACACAAGGTAATGTAGGGGATCACTGATCTAGGAAGTTTGTCCCATAAAATATATATTTATTTATTTTTTAAAACAAAAAAAACTAAGTGCAGCAGCGGCCGTCTATCAAGTAAATAAAGTGATGTTTTGGTGCTTAAAGCGTGTTGTAATTCTGTTTTGGTAAATTGGTGAATGCAGTATTAGGCAAGGCACAGAGTTGCAACTGCATGTAACTACTGCTTTCATTTCATTGACATCCAGTGATGCTGAGGTTTAAGTTACTCCAAAAAAGCTCTATCTAAAATAACATAAAATAAAACAAAATACAAGAAGAAACGTTATATTATTAGATTAGTACCTAATCCAGTGGTTTCCAGGTCAAAGAAAACAACAGTTCTGTCTTGAGCCATCTGCAGATGAAAAATTAAAACAAAACAACAACAAACAACAACAGTCAGTGTTTAAACGGAACCTTTTTAAAGTTAATTTTGCCTCCTCAGTCACAGCTGTAGTCAGTCACTGAGAGCGTGTATTGAACTCACCGTGCAGCCTGCAGGTTGCTAAGTCTGCTGAGCCTTGTGACAGATGTGAAGTCAGCTGGAGAGAATATATGTACTTATGCGGACTCCTCAGGGAGGGCCCAGCAGGTGAACCCCCGCCACGACATTTCACAACTTAAAACTGCGCCCTGCTTTCATTTTAGTGGAAGAGAAACTCTTTTTTTTCTTCCTTCTAACCAGTCTCCTTCCTGCTCGTTCGGCCCGCTCTGAACGTCCGTGAATGTGCCAGCGGTAGAAACACACTCACACGCACGTTTCTCGGTAAACGTGGAAACTTCTCTGCTGTTCGTTCACTTTCATTTTTGAGCCGCTAGATGACACACGGTTTTTGTTCTACGGCAAACCGTAGATTTGAATAGCCTATGTTAAATAAATGAATAAATAATAATACAGTGACTGTATGACACAAAATACAAATATAAAGAAATTCATATTTTTAAAAAGTTACACTATTAAGCGAAACTTTAAAAAGTAGAGTGTGACCGTAATGATTTTGAAGTAATTTGAAATAAAAAGTTTTTAAAAAGCTGTTAAAGACGGTAAAAAACAACACCCCCCCCCCAAAAAAAGCAAAACAACATCAACAAAAAACGTATTCTACAGTATTATAAATATTCTGCGAAGTATTTTATTTTATTTTATCTTGCGCTCGTTTGCTGCCACCTTCTACCAACCAGGGATGCTCATGATTGATCATTTTCCTATAGTCCAGTATAAACGTTTTCACAGCCCCTCTGCTGTTCTGTGAAAGTTTGTAGACACCTTCAGAAACAGTAACTTGATGTAATTATTTACTGTGTGACTTTATCACATAGTAGTGAGGAAATTGTGGTCCGCTCTCACAGCGGTTAGTCTGTTTCGGTTCACTGAGCTTTATGGTGTTTCATTCATACACAGCATTCCAGTCAAGCTGAGATCTGGACTTTGACTGGATCATTGCAGCACCTTGATCCATTCATTTTCAGACATTGTAGATTTGCTGCTGCACTTGGGGCCATTGTCCTGTTGCACAACCCAGTTTTCTCCAAGCATTAACCGTTGGACACACTTGACTCACACGTTAGAGAACTTTGGTATTCTTCGGTTTGCCAAGTTGCACCTGAGCAAACCACAAGAGTTGTTGAACCAATGTCCTTTGGATAGACGAGAGCGAAGCGGAGACGTTTGGCCAAAATGCACAGATCTACATTTAGAGAAAATTAAATGCAGCATAACAAACACTTCTTATCAACTGTCAGGCACCGTGGCGGGGGGATGGTGATTTGGGCTGGGGACCTTGAAGTGACTGACCAAAACCTCCTCAGGCTGTACTGCCATGTCTTTTGTTTGTTTTGTTTTTTTAGAAATCAGACCTTGGGTTGAAATTACTGGGACATTCTGTTGACTATTTTTCAGCTGTGAATAATCTTTCTCACTGGACCATAGATGTATAACCTTTGCAGGTTGATGTGCAGCAGCTCATTGCTTCTCTAAGACCATTGTCGATGCCTTTCCTTCTTCACATTGTGTTAACAAACACCTGAGTGCTCCAGACCTGCAAACAGACAAAACTTCTGCTTTTATAGAGGAGGTGACATTTTCTGCTACTTACTCTCTTTATTCCTATGGAAGTGCAAAGGGTGCACTTAGTTTTTCACACTGTGGTTGTGAAAGTATCATGAATTCACTTAAAATAAGGCTGGTTTTTGTTTCTTTTTTATGTACTCGGATAATTATATGAGTAATTCAGTGGTACGTGGCTTTAACGCATTATGTTATTTTAGATAAAATTTGGAGAAAAAAATCCCTTCACTATTAGGCTATAACGTAAAAATCAATATATTGTATTCAGACCTTTTCTATCTGAACCCGAGCTTAAAAAAAACATACCACACATCACTCAAAACACATCAGCATGAAGACGATCACAGAGGTGAGAAGGTGTGGTGCCAACACAAAAAGCTTATGTAACTGTTTCTGATTGCAGTTTCCCCTGTTTCCTCTGGAGCAAATCTTATTGGATAACTGTTGTAGAAAAGAAATACTCTGTGTTAATAAATTCTAATTTTTCTTTTATTCATCTGGTTTACCCTCTCGCACCCTCCATGTCTTTCTCTGCACTGATGGTGGCACTAGAGCAGTGTTTCCCAACCTTTTGGAGCCACAGCACATATTTCACATCAGAAAAATCACACCAAACAAAAATGCCACAAAAGCATATTGATAGTTTTTGTTTTGAATTGGCTCGGTTTGTCCCGAGTATGCCCTTCTCGCTTTCTTCTGACCACTACTCATGCTAGGGCCTTCATTTGGGTAAGAATTTTCTCCAGCACCCAGGTCAGATTGACTACCTTTTCTTTTCAAATATTTATCTATTCCTTATACGCACTGTGTTGCCTGACAGAATGACTATTATGTAATTTCTTCTTCCTTCTGTTTTACTGGCAGTTGGCAACCAATTTAATTAGAGCAGGTTGTACTGCCCTTTAGTAGAAGATAATGTAACTGCTCTGCCCATTACGCCGATTGCTTAGAGTACTAATCAGGTGAAACTAGATAATCCTCCACGGCACACCTATGTGTGGTTGGGAAAACACTGCACTACACTACAGCCCAATGACGCGTCACCAAGGGCGTAGATTTGGCATGGACGGAAGGGACATGTCCCCACCAATCGCTGAACCAGATTATTGAATTGTCCCCACCAATAATTTGATCTATTCGAGTAAAGAAAATCAAACCCGATAGAAAGAAAACAAAAACGATCTGTCAACGTCTCATTCACCCAGCGGTGCAGAAAGAGTTAAATTACGTCCTCTACTGGAGTCCTACCTCATGTGACAAATATGGCCAATGTGATTGGCTGTGCATTTCATGGAGCTCTGTTTAGTTTTAGCAGCGGCAAACCTGCGCTGCGAGGAGGATGGCAGCAAAAAGGAAGAACCCGGATATAAGTATTTTTCAAAGAAACCTGTAAGTCACTTAAAGCCAAATTAACTCATAAAATGTGTCCGTCATAATAACATTACAGGTTATGCTAGGCTTTGGCCCACATCAGTCTAAAATTGTATGTAACCACGAATAATGTGTTTTGGAAACTAACTGCACAACATGCAGCACTATTAGTTCTCTCAGTCTCAGAGCAGCATTTCTAATTTTGACTGAAACTGTCAGAGAAAACGGCAGCTTTGAGCAAGTCAGGATATTAGTTTACAGAGGCTGTTAAAATTATATGTCTAACGTTAAAATGTTGGTGACACAATAATTTCATCCTAATGGTACTGACATATTCATAGGGTTAATTTTTGAGACAAAATGTCATGAGGTAGTCATGATTTTGCAAATATCCACCTTGTAGTGCAGTTTGCACAAATTGTTTTAAAAATGCACTCACCCTGCAAACATTACTGATGAGTCAAGATCTGCACAAATTGACAGAAACACTGAAGCAGCTCCACATTTTATTGTCATGTATGTCCTATTTGTCAGGTGACAGAAGAACCAACACAAAGCTCAGAGAGCAATGGTGATGCAAGATCACAGGTGAAATTGGATCATGAGGCACATATGTGACTGCATGTATGTGGAATGTCTCACTGTTATTCATCAGGTGACAGAGGCAGCTCTGCCATGTTGTAGCTCAGACAGAGGTGAAGAGGCGAGGTCACAGGTGACTGACTGATGATTTGGTGCTATAGATTAACTAGTATTTATTATCATGACAATAATTGTTAGGCTGCTGATGTAAATTGATTCACTAGTGTATATTTGACAAAGAATCTGAATTGACATGTCTCACTTTTTATATGGCACGAATCAATGTGTTATTTTATCAGGTAGCAATATGTCCTAGTGCAGTCAGAGGGGAAGAGCCAGGGCCAAAGGTGAGGTACATCAAGCACAGAATAATAATTGTAATCTGAGGATAAAACGCAGGTACTGAGGCTGAAAGAAGCTTCAGTGCTCTCAGAAGACTAAAAAGATGGCTAAGGTCAACAATGACTCAAATGAGATTAAACAATGCTGCTGTATGTCCACCAGGAGAGACTGGACAGTATAGATGTAAAACAAATATGCCAGCAGTTTATCTCAGTTAACGAGAGGAGCAGGCATGTGTTTGGCTCCTTCACATAGTGGACATCGAGTTGTTGTGTGGGACACCAGTAGTCCATGTCTGTCGCTGTAACAGTAGTTCATGTTTAGAACAGAAAATCTCAGCTCACTGATTTGATCAGGGCAATTGTGCCTAAACTGTTGCATAATTTTGCTGAGAGATCTTTTACTTTGTGGTAATCTTAGATGAGTAGTTTTATGGACAAAAACCAGCAGGTCATTCAGTGTTCCCTTAGTGCCAAAGTATAACAGATGTTGGTGTACTGTAACTGAAGTAATGATGTTAAGTCCTTAAAGTCATATTCTTTTATTGTCATGACTGTATTTGAAGCTATTTTTATTTTTGTATGATACCTGATTTATATGGATTATGGCTGAAGTACACTAAAGCCTAAAATACTTAGTCATTTGTTTAATAGTAATTTAACATTATATAATTCACATATAAAACTATGAATTGTGATTTTAAATGGTTTAAAAGCACGTAGAATAGTATATGTAGGCAAGTATATTTCTCCTCTTTTTATTAAGAAGCAAAACAAAAAGAAAAAGAAACAGGGCAGAGTTCAGTGGTTGAATCATCCGTCCCCACCAATGCCAAAACCAAATCTACGCCCTTGCGCGTCACAGAACATAAATGACAATTCATAAATATCTGGAGTAGATGAAAGCCCTCTAGCTCAATGAATTAATATGCTTCCTTAACAACAAATGTTTATTTTAAAGATTTATACGTTCCTCTTAGGTTCTCAAACTGTGGGACAGTTCCCACTAGTGGTGGGTGGTGGTACTGCAGGTGGGCTCTGCACAAGCGAAGACGTCTCTTGTGATTTTATTTCAGGTTGGATCTTTGTTGGTGTTGACCGAGTGAATGATTGTGTGAGCTTCTTTTGGTTCGTGAAGTCAGGTTCAAAAGATGACTCAACTCACTCGTGCTTGGCTGCAATTTTGCTTTTTTAATAAGCAGATGGATTTTCCCTCATAAAGTCTTTTTTTTCTTCTTACAACCATAGACATGTTTATATCATTAAAAAAAAGAGGAAATGTAACACAAATCGCACCTTATACATACATACTGTGATAACTGTGTCCAGAGTGGCGCAGACAGACACAAGGCTTTTTTTTTGTTTTGTTTTTTTGCTTTTTGCTTTATAGCACAAAAAATGAGTGACTGAGTATGGCCTGCTAAAATGTCGCCATGAGTAATAGTAGATAATGAACCGTACACAGGATAATATATCCTTTTATAACACCTTTTTATAACAGATTCTTTTTAAATCAATGTACATCCCAAAAGCATGATCATAAATAGCACATACACTGTGTATAAAAGAGGAACAAAACCAAAAAACAACCAAAGAAAGCAGAGCATGCCTTCCAGTGATAGGTACATTCACTTTTTCCTTTTTTTTCTTCTTTTTTCTCCACATGGACAGCTTAGACATACACAACAAACATCATCCCATCAAATATCAGCTAAAAGACATTTGACCAGAATCAGCCATGCCCTTTCAGCTCAACTCCGAAAACAGGTTTTTTTTTAATGTCTAAATGGTTCAAAGTGATACTAAAAAAAACCAAAAAACACACACTAAATCATCACTGAGACTTCCAGCTTTTAAAGTTCCTCCAGAGACGCGGCAAGCAAAGAGAGATCGCAGCTTTATCACGGAGACATGATCGCTGTTTAGCTACTGAGAAGAATCTCAACATCACACGGATACTGTTTGGATACTTTATGGACAGAGACAGGAAAGAGAGGAAGAATATGCAGAAACACACGGACGGTTTGAGTTAGTTGCTACTAGTTTTTTTTTGTTGACAGGTTAACAGGCAGATTAAATGCTACTTATCACAGCCAGAGCCGGGAGAGAAGAGGAGCTACTGTACTGGTGAAGAAGAAGAACAGGCATGGCTCAGAGGACATCGCGGACGGTTTGAGTGCATGATGAGTGCAAGTGTTTCCCCACAGGTGCAGTAAAGCTCAGACTAACCCTTGTAAGCTCACATCAGTTAGTTTTAGTGTCACACGACGGATGTAGAGCTGCTTCTTCTTTTCAGTCCTTCCATTAAGCATATTTACGGAGGAGAGGCTAAACATGCACAAAGTGGGAGCTGATAAAAATGGAAGGGATCATTCACTCGTTCACTCACTCCAACAAATAATAAAGATCGGAAAGAAAAAACAAAACGATGGCTTTCATCTGAACAAAAACTATTGACAGCAATACCAACATGTACACTATAATACAGCAATAATATATATTAAAAGAGAAAAAATTCAAGTTCTGACGCAGTAACACTGATGTTTCTGAAATGTGGGGGTGGGGGGTAATAAAAGGCTGCGGGCAAAGAAAGACAGAACAAAACACGTATGGCTGACTGACATCTCATACTGCAGGTCAAGTTCGCGTGACACCCGACGCTCTGCGCTACAACCGCAGGTTGGTGGCTTTTTTTTCTTTCATTTTTTTTTCCAAATTCTTTTACGACTCAAGAGTGCAACCAAAGTGCTCTCTGTTCATTGTGTAATATTAAAAAAGAGAGAAGCCAGCAGTAAACAGAGGAGAACCGACACAGAAACAAAAGTGGAACCTGAATTTCAGATACTTATATTTGCAAAACAGGCCGTAGAGACTGATCACCGATGAGCAACCCAGCAACCCAGCAGCAGCACTGGACTGTCTCTTTATGTACACCTTTTTTCCTCCTCTTTAATATAATAATAACAATAATAATAATAATTAACATACAGCTGTAAGAGACAGTTCCTTCAAACTGAAGAAAAATTGTGATGGAGAAGCATGCAGCCTCTTGGCTGGTGTGTCCTGTGTAAACGAGAAAAGCAGACTTAGCTTGGTGCTGGTTACAGACAAGTTGGTTGTCCGCCAGTTCGGTCAGTATGGCTACATTTCTTTTGGGGGGCTTTCACCATCTGCCCGCATGCTAAAAAATAAAGACGAGGCTCTGAAAGGTTTGGCTTTGCAGGTGTGGGTGTGGTGTCCTGTGTCTCGCCACCCGTCCTTCCGTTCCTCTTCCCCCACCCCTCCCTCTCCTCTGACTGACCCCTGGGGCTCCAGCAGGGGTCAAACGGTTCAGATCAGAGGATCAGCGAACACAGTTAAACTTGTCTTTTTGCTTCTCTCCAGATTTCACATTAGTCGTCAGTCATCCTTCAGTGACCAGCTGCTGTTTTTGTCCCTCTCTGTCAGAATCGCCTTCCTGCTTTGACTGGACCAAGGGAGGAGGTAAGGCTGGGCACCAAGGAGGGGCAACAGGCGACTCTTGGCGTAAACCTTGCCCCATGACCAGCCTCATTCTGCCCTAAACTCGTCTTCCTCCCGTTCTCACTCAGCCTCCCGCGAATGGTCGTTTCGGGGTCAAACCATGAACTCGTTGTTGCCGTACAGAACCAGCTGCTGCGGCCCCGAGCCGAAGTCCGACTCCCTCCGATGGCTTCCCGAGGGCTCCCGTGGCGAGCTGCGGCTCAGCCTGAGCCTGTGCCGCGTTTTCCCGGTACTTTGGCCCCCCTCTGCCTCAGCCAAAGGGGTCCCCAGGCTGCAGGAGGTGAGTAAGGGCCCGGAGGAGGAGGAACGGAACCTGTAGTGAGGGGAAGGAGAACCAGACGCGTTGGAGGAGAGAGAGGAGGAAGGGTGATAGGAGGAGACGGTGGAAGTGGAGTCTGCTGAATCCTGGGAGTCGGGCTGGCGTCGCAGAGCTCGCCTGCTCTTCGCCTCTGACTTTCTGGATCGGATTGTGCCGCGATCTGTGAAGAAGAACACACAAAGATGGCAGTGATAAGAGAGTTATTATTATTATTTATTACACAAAAAGCAACTAATTGAATTACAAAATTAGGAAAATTTACTTTCAAGTAGACAATTTCACATGGTTATCCTTTATTAGACATAAATAGAATATGATTAGCTGACTTTACCTGGAGCCATTAAGCCATTACCTTAAACAAATATAAGGATGATGAAGGTTGAGTGAGAGTGTGAGTTGGCAGCATTTATATAGGATCTTTGGATTACATCGTTACCTGCAGTTAGTCACAGTAAGCAGGGACTGAAACATGAACACAAACACTGACACGCACCAGAGGGGTCAGAGGTGGCTCCCTCCGTATCCATGGTGATATTCTCTGAGCTGTCTGCTGTACCGATGGAGGCTTCAGATTCAGGAGTTTCATCATCGGATGCTCGCGGCTCCAGGATCAACATTTCATAGGTCAGCTCCTCCCTGTTGACAGACACATTAAAGGTCATATTTTAAGTTTTGGGATATTTATTACTGTATGCAACTGACCCAAAGCCATCCACATAGAAGCACACGGCAGCTACAAGACAGAACAAAAATAAATTTTATGTTTGCTCTGAGTTTCCAGGTGACATTAGTTACATTAGTTTTTAGGTGGTTTTAAAGCCTGCACTGTTGTCTGACTTTAAATATGTAACATGTGTAACAGGAATGCACAACTTAAATGTAACAGTATGACCATAGAAACGGCATACTTTTCTTTCTGCAGACTCTCAATCTGCTCTGCGAGGATTCGCTCCTCCTGCTGCATCGCCAGCTCCTGCTGGTCATTGAGCACGGCCTCTGCTGCGTCCTCCACTCCTCCTCCTCCTACGGCAGTTTCTCCATCAACCCCAGAGGGCGCTCTGGGGCTGAGAGGAGGTGAGGTCGTGTGGGTGGTGCTTTGCCAAACACGGCTTTTGCTCTGCAAGTACACACACACACACACACACACTTATAGAGACAGTGTGTTAGCGGAAGTCCAAAGTGACCAGAATGTTCAGGGAGAGACAGTGATGAAGCACACAAAGCTAAGCTGCTACAGGTGTAGGTGGATGCTCTGACCACATACTGACTAGATAGACTGAGCACAGTTCACCACATCACTGCTAAAAAGAAAGACTATGAGGTCAGGTGATAATCACTACGAACAGTTACACACAATCACTTCATACACACACACAGGTTGGCATTACCTTAACTTTAGCTGTGTTAGGCTGTACATTGTAAAACAGAAACAGAAAGCAAAGAGCGATCAGTGGGGCTACAGTTAGTGAGCTGCCTTTTTTGAGAGAAGCATAAACATTCAGCAGTGATTAAAGAACAGTGACGGCAGCCGTGAAGCTGTAGAAATGCACACTACTGCTTATGATGCAGCTCTGCTAACCTGAAATAGTTGATGTTATTAAGTTAGCCTCAATGCTTTCGTAGCCGAAAGCATATGCTTTCTATTTTCAGGGTTTATTTATAGTGCAGTTTGTTTTTGGAAATGTTAAACGTCAAGTGTGAACACGGCACAAAGTCTTTTAATGTGAGAAGATGTCTCCTATGGAACATCTGGATGTAGCTAATATATATATATATATATATATATATATATATATATATATATATATATATATATATATGCTTACTATGTACTAGTCAAGATAATGGCTTACTTTGCCTCCCTCCAGACTTCACAGAACATCACTATTTATGTTTATATTAATAATTAAATCTACACAAACAACAAAGCTACAGTACATTATCTGAGAAACAATGTAGTGTATAAATACAGTTTATACAAACAACAATGCTTGGAGAGGCTACACTGCACATAAACACTGTTTTGTGTTTAAAATGCTGTGGCTTATTTGACTTAAAGGTCAGTTGTTCAACTTTTGCTTGACTGTAAAGTCAACTTTAGACTGTAGCAGCCATTGATTTAAAGCGTCAATTTGAACATTTCGTCTGCTGTTGTCGAGGCTTTTTGAAACCAGAGACAGAGAAACTACGGACACCGTATCCTCATGTAGCTGTGGACTGCTGTGAACATAAAGCAGCCATTAGCTAAAGCACAAGCTGCTTTGCCGTCTCTTGTAGTCTAAGATGAACACCAGGCTTTATGAAGGGTATGAAGAAAATGTTTACTGAGGTCATAAATGACTGTAGCAAAAAGGTCGTTTTTCCCCATTGACTTCTACAGTCTGATTTCTTATGGCAACCAGACGAGCTGCCCCCTGCTGGCCAATAAAAAAAAATCCTGATTTAAAATAGTTCATCAATGGCTACATCCATCTCTTTTATACAGTTTTATGATGTTGAAGTCGGCCTCTTTTGATATACTGCTAATGATGACGACAAACCAGTATATTTAAAAAGAATTGAAGCAATAACTTATAGCTAATATTAAACGTAATAATACTTAATATTAATACAATAAATAAACGAGCTAATGTTTTTATTTGAGTACAGTTGTGCTTACAGACCCTCTCCACCTTCCTATACTTCTGATTATCATCAATATAATCAATAATCAGTTGCTAAACAGAAGACATACATTACATACATTATTTCAAATTACAACTGAAACTGTGAGAAAATGATTACCAGCAATGTTAATTATTTAATACAAACACCCGACCTGGCTGCCAGAGGCCACGTTGCTATAATAAACGATATAACAATGCCAGCTGAAAGACTTCTGGTGTTGTATGATTTGCTGCGCTGCATGTTAGCCAACCCACTGATAACAAAACAGCAACACAAACAAAGAGTCAGACACCTGACATAGAAGTAGCTTACAGGTATATGAGATGAGTGGTGTTACAGACGGCATGAGTGGACGGAATTAAGAGACTGATGGACAGGACAGGACTGGTGGTGGGCGGGTACATGTTGTGGGAGGGGCATACATACCGGGGTGGTAGTGCGGGTAATGCTCATAAACCTAACGGCAATTAGTACGGGTTTCTGGAAGGAGGGTGTGGGGGAGGAAAGGAGGAAGGACAGGTTAGGATTAAGGAGCGGTGAAGGTTATCATTTTAGTATGGATCTGGTTATTTTACAGGTCAAAAGAGGTTTCCAGATTAAAATGAGCTACAGTTGGTTAGAAAGAGAAAGATCTGAAGAAATCTTCCCAACCAGAAAATACCCAGTGTAAAAAGACGCCGAGGGAGGAATTGATAGGCAACTGAACAATGCTGAGGTTCGATTAAAAAGTTAATTAACAGGAAATTCCTAAGTGGGCAAACGTGAATTCATGATTCATACTAGGCTGAATGCAAGTCTTTGTAACAGCCTCAAAAGACGACTTTTCACCTTTCACTTTTCAACAAAGATAAAACTCAGACATTTCTGTTTCTCTCACCAGTTAATGTGTCTTTGCTTTTGTTTTTTGTCCTTGGTGCATTGCAGTTTTATGACAGCAAAAACTATGTAAGAGCCCAACAAGGGTCTGCTGTGGGAAGTTGGGAACTAGGGTCTACTGTGACTGGCTGACCAGATCTGGCCCAGAAAACAACAACCATGGACGTGTGGCACTTTACACATGCTCTACCTATAAGAACAAATCCAGGCGAGATAGCTCTGAACCTGCAAATCATTAAAAAACACTCTTATTTGGAAAGTGTGGATCCATGTGGATGCTGGAGGAATTTGGTTGTCCTGTGAAGCACAAGTTAGCTCATCTTCCCGAATAATGCTTTCCAGAAAGACAGATTACACAGCAGGATGCTCCTTAGGGAGTACAATAATTGCATTCCTGGGTGAAATCATGTAATAGAAGGTATACTGTATAATGTTACATACTGTATTTAGGCATGAGCTGCTTCCTGCTGAAATTTTCAATTTCTCCAATTTTGAATCTTTTGTAGCTTTTTTTGCCTAAATGAACCTCTTATCTCAGTTTCTTGCCGATTACTTGCATGAATAGTGGCTGCATCATCACCATTTACTAAAACTACGCAGTTGGAAAGTACGTCAGTCCACTAGGGTGCTTTTGAGAACTTTACACTTTTCTTCTGAGGTTATTGTTTCCCTGGTATAAATGATCTTATGTGTCCCAAAGAGACCTTTGACGTAAAGAATTAAACTCCTGTGAGGTATTATTACAGCAGAATAATTCACAAATGAATGATTCAAACAAGTGTCCATCCCCTTCAAATGCTTTTTTTGGGTCACCTTTTTGCATGTGTAAGAAAAACACAGCAAAAAGTGTTGATGACACATGTAAAGAAACACACAGGAATGAACTCCTGCCATGGCGACAACCATGCCAGCTGCTCGTGGAGCTGAAAACGGATCCATTTTGATGAGGAGTGAGAGGAAGGAGTAAATAAAAAATAAAAAACTTTCGCTCAATGACAACCTCAGCCTCTATGCTAACACCTACTGCACTTTGATCTTACCATGGACCTCCTGATGTGGGTCAGCCTGCTCTTGGCTTTGTTCTCTGCAAACTCCAGACTGCTGATGTCCTTCAGACGAGCCTTGTACTTGCTCATCTGCTCGTTGATGATCAGCTCCACACACCTGCGGACCAGAGAGCCATTTAAATTGGAAGCAAACAGAGCAGAGATGCTCTGGTACCCTATGATAGGCTTGGACACACTTGGATAAGGAGATGTTTGTTTTTCTTGAAAACCCCCTTTTCAAAATGTAAGAGGCTGAAGTTTTTTTTGTTGACATCAGCCCAAAGATGCAGTTACATTTAGATGTTATTAAGCTGTAATTACAGCAGTATACCAGGTTTCTGGCATTTAATGAATAATGACTGTAAAATTGCAGGGTCAGTTTGTGAACATACGCTGTGGTCTTGCTGATGTCTTGGACGCTCTGCAGTGGGTCAATGCTGTCGGGGCAGCGAAGGATGCAGGGAGCAAACACGATGGCGAGGGCGTTGGCTGACATCCTGTTTGTCTCCTCCTGCAGGGCAATCCTGTAACAGCATAATACTTTTAATCCTGATGTGCAATTCCCACTGAACACAGCTCTAATCCAGTGTCTGACGACTAGTGAAAATAATAATATATATAATAGGCCCTGAAACCTCTGCAGCTTCGACCTGATGCTCAAAAACATGATTCAGATCTTATTATAAAACCCTTTTTTCCAGGCACAAGCTGTTTGCCTGGTCATATTGATTCAAGTCATCACTCACCTGACCAGATGGAAGATGAGGCGCTCCAGTGTGCTGAGGTGTGTCCTGCTGAGCTGGTCGATCACAGAATACACTCCGTTGATCACCTCCCGCTTGTCTGGCTGACCTGAAAAGGCAGAAAAACACCACAGAGTTCAGGCAAACGCATTTTTTCAAGCTAACTCGGTCCTGGGCTGAAAACCAGCAAACAGACGGTAAAGAGCATAAGCATGAGTTTACCCATGGCTCTCAGGAACTCCTCGTAGAGTTCAAAGGTCATGAGAGGGCTTGGCAGGTCACGGAGCCACTGTTTGAGCACACTGGCAATAACGTGGATATTGTAGTCATCCAGATTCACGCTGCTGACATCTGAAAGAGCATGATTTCAGACAAGTTAACATGGTTTCTCTTTGATCTTTGGTCCAAATGATGCAGTAGTTCATACATGTAGTTTAAAAATCATTTAATAAACGGCCACGAAAACTGGCAGGATTCAAGTTTATTTTAGCTTTTAGTCCTCATTAAAAATTCCTTTTTTTCCATAACAGTGCCATCTGTCTCAGCTGTACTTTGTAATTAGTGATAATTAGTCACCAAACTAAACCACATTTTTATGACAGTACACATTTTCACCCATAAAACCAGCTCATTAGGATGGCGACACGTACTTTTTAGGATCTTTATTTTCTCAATTTGACTTTCAGACTTGTTTCACACTTTTAAACGCCCCGGCAGGAATCCTGTAATATGTATTTGGAATGTGTGTCTCATTGATCTGTGAGTCAGCCTCACCCGTGTCCAGCCCCTGTCGGAGTTCTTTGATCTTATTGGTGGAGCCCGACTTCCTGTAGATGCCCTCTGTGTAGAGGCCGTGCATCTCGATGTAGTTGATGAGCTTCTCCACCAGCTGGGGTACGGTGCGCTCCTCGCTGGTCAGACGCGACAACTCCACGCCGAACTGCCGTGACGACAGCTCCGGGTCGTACTTGTTTGCAAACGTAAATAATGCTGCACATTAAACTGAACCACTGGCAGGCTGCACAGACCAGTGACCGTTACAGCTCGATGATGAAGGATGACGTAAACGTAAACTCCCATCTGCATTATACAGTAATATCTACCTAAAGCTGGTAAACATCTGTGTGTACTGATGACGCACGGGACTTTTTATTTATTATGACTTCCTTTCTTTCAGGGCTAAAATTCTTTCAGTAGGATTAATGGAGAAAAACTTGATACAAACTCCTTTAGTCATACTGTAACACATTCAGACGACATCAAACCACAAAATAAACCAAAAGGGCAAAAGGTGATTATTTTAGCTAATGATTATACTGCGCTGTGATTTCGATTGTTGGCTACATATTTTGAACGGCGGAGAGAACCCGTGTCATCTTAAAACAAGTGTCACATAAAAAAAGGAACTCCACCTACCTTCTTGCTGCACTTCGTGGTCATTTTGGAACAGCACTTCCTGTGGCAGGCGTAGCGACACACTGTAGACAAAACAAACGACAATCAGACGGGAGGCATTTCTACAAACTCCTCACAGTCACGACAGCGGCAGTCGGTGCTGTAGACATTTACCACCTCAAAGGCTAGGGCAAGCGTGGAGGCGGCAGAGAGCCGGGATGGGATGTCTGCTCTCAGAGAGTGCAGATGGAGCTCTGTAACTAGATCGAAGACGGACTCATGAAAGGAGAGGGAGGTTTAATCGAATTCTGCAGACACTCAGGCACGCAGGGAAAGTGTGTTAGTTTTTTGCGTATGTGTGTGTGTGTAAGGACTGCCATGTGAGTGGAAAGAAAAACTACACAGTTTTGAGTGTGAGTGGTGTGGTAAGTGAGTTAGGAGAACATTAGGATCTGCGGCTGGTGTGTGTGTGTGTGTGTGTGTGTGTGTGTGTGTGTGTGTGTGTGTGTGTGTGAGAGAGAGAGAGAGAGAGAGAGAAAGATCCTGGGCAGACAGCTTAATGCTTGATTTTAAACTGACCAGCGGACAGCTGACAGTTACTGACAGAAAAACTAAAGCAACAGTGCTGAAAAGTGTCACCTCACTATGATTTTGCATTAAGATAACAGACGTTATGCACGTAGCTCTTATCCCTGCAGTTTTAAAGATAAAAATGCCTGCTGCACCTGTTTATATTTCACTTTAAGACCAGAAACATTGTGCAGTGGTTAGCACTGTTGCCTCCAAGCAAGCAGGTCCTGTGTTCAAATCTACCCACTCACTATCCACTATGTCCTGCTTTCTCCATGAGTCTGCATGAGCTCTCCCTGGATTTCCATCAACAGTCCAAAGATATACGTGTCAGGTTAGCTGGTGATGATAAATATGCCATATGTGTGAATGGCTGTCTGCCTCTGCTTTAGTCCTGCAATAAACTGGCGCCCTGTCTAGGGTGGACCCTGCTCTCTACTGGAGCTGCTGCTCCTTCACATTGAGGTGTTTGGGTATCTGATAAGGATGACTCCTGCGCACTGGGAGAACAATCAGGGTAGACACAGGACATGCTGGAGAGGTTATGTCTCTCGGCCAGCTCAAGTACGTCTTAGCATTCCCTGAGAAGAGCTGGAGAAGGTGGATGGGTGGAAGGAGGTCTGGGTACCTCTTCTTAGACTGATGCCCCTGCAACCTTTACCCAGATAAGCATCACAAAAAAGGTGGATGGATGTGTATATGGGTGGATGGACTGTAGATAATTTAGATGTGATGTTTTATCTCCTCGAGGCCAACTAACAAACTGAGAACTCAACAGTCTTGTGAGCCACACTTTGTGACATTGCTCTAATAAACATAAGGCTCTAATAAGGATAATTTGGCACTGACACATGGCAACACTTCCTTCGTTATTTGGTCTTCATTTTTATTTTTGGAAGCTAAAACACTGTACCCCCACCATGCTGAAGGGTGTCTGGTTAGTTAACCTTTTTTCCCCAATGACAACCACAAAGTAGTTTTGAAAGCTGGAACAAAAAAATCCTACAGCACCTCCTGTGCCCTCCACATGAGGGCGGACCCAAGGAGCTTTTTTTAACTAAGCATAGCTGAGCCACAGAGGCTCGCTCTCGAGTCCCTACCCCAGGCCTGTCTCCAGGGTGGTATCCTGGTGACCTGTCCTGGGCAGGGTAAACTGGAGCTTTGACTTCAGTTCCTAAATGTGTGTTTTGGACAGATGTGTTCTGTGTGTAGTGCTTACGTTTGCAGACACAGGCTCGATCCATCATCCAGATGAGGGAGGAGCAGTACTCGCAGTAGGTGGGGATGCTGTACTGAGTGGACTTGAAAATGTGGCCGTTGTGTTCCTCCACCTGCAGGGGGCAGCAGACCTGCCAGTCAGCTCAGTTGACATATGAAGCAGAGACTGCATATAAAAGATGTCTGTATCTACTAGGGGTGCAACGATACTCGTATCGATATTGAACCGTTCGATACAGTGCTTTCGGTTCGGTACGCATATGTATTGAACAATACAAAATTTGTAATTTATTTTATCAACTTTCCTTCTGACGATGCTGTCTGTGTTGAGCGCTCAGTGAATCTGCGTTCGACTACTCCGCCTAGGCTGCACTGTCGAGCGCAGATCCACTGAGGTGCCTTCTTTTGGCGCACCGGCCGGTCATGACCGGCGGGGGAAAAGTCACTCGGGTCAGAACATGGGGTGCCACCATCATCCCACTTCTGACACCAATGTGGCGAGCTCAGACAAGGAGGAGACGGAGGTGTCGTTTGGTCTTGCTTCCCGTGAGCTAGCCAGGGAGCACAGCCGTTTATTGACATCTGCAGAAGAACACTGCCGCTAGCTAACTGCTCAGCGCGGCAACCGCACAGCAACAACAACAGCAGCACACAGGGCGCCCTCTGAACCCGGAAGGACACACCGTCGCAGCGAGAGGGCGTCACCCGTCACTATGGCAACATAAACAAAACATAACTGTACAAACAGAACCCCGAACAGCCCTGACCCGCTACAATATGCTGCTGAGAATATAGCCCAGAAGAAGCGTATAGTATTGCTTTTATTTTGGGAAGAGCCATTTCTCTGTAATAAACTCTCTTTTCCAAAGATGAGTGATTCCTCAATCAGATTTATTTTTTTAATTACTTTTGTTTCAGCAACATTAAATTTAAAAACTGTACTTTTGAGTTAAAATATATATTTATAAGTTTAATAAATGACAAATTAAAAAGGCATGAATATTTTTTTTGTATCGAAAAAATATTGAACCGTGACACCAAAGTATCGAACCGAACCGTGAATTTTGTGTATCGTTGCACCCCTAGTATCTACCACTCAGGTTTGTGAAGCCCTGTTTTAAATCTTTGCAGAACTGGTTGCAATTAGAGATGGACCGATCTGATATTACGTATCGGTATCGGTCCGATACTGACCTAAATTACTGGATCGGATATCGGAGAAAAATAAAAAATGTAATCCGATCCATTAAATATCACGAAAGCACCTCACAAAACTTGCAACACGCCGTAACTCGCCTCAGAACGTTAGCAGTCGGAGCAGTATGCATCACGTGATAGAGCGGCTGTGGCATGCGGGACCTGTCGGTGGTCTGGATAGCATTTGGAGCTTCGCTAGCAACCTGGCATTTCATCTCCGACAAAGTTATCCCGAGAGAAGTAAAGCAAGTGTGTAAGTCCATCTCTGAATGTTTGTAAAGCATTCCCACGTTGAGCTTAACGAGCGACTGCCTCTGCTCTCCGGCTGCTACTTCAATCGTGAAACTGCTAATGATCAGCTGATCGGCTTTTCTGTCGCGAGTCCGTCTCTCTTGTTTGTTTTTGGTCCACTTTGCACCAGAAAGAGGAAACCAGCAGCTGAACAACAGCAGCACGTTTAAGGTTGATAAGCTGTTGTTACAATTTATTTAAATATTACTTTCTACACCAGGATCTTTTTCTACGTAGCTGACGCTGGTAACTGTGCAGGGGCGGATCTAGCAAAGTTTAGCCAGGGGGGCCGATAGGGCATTAACTGGGAAAGGGGGGCACAAAGACATACTTTTCTTTCTTATTCTCATTTAAAATGTCTAGCTTTTAATAAATAATTATCTGACACCCAAAGTTTTAATTTGATGTAAAATGAATAGAAATCAATTACTGTATATAGTGATTAAGTCTAATATATATACCCTAGTAAGCTATAGTACTTTTTCCTTTGGGAAGGTACCATCTGTGCAGTCTGCAATTTTGTTGAAGAAAGATGTTGAATCTATTTAATATTTCTTGAAAAATAATTGATTTCTGTGCATTTTCTTTCACACTGCATCAAATTAAGGTTGATTACGTCGATTAAGCATCATGAGGTGGAGCGTGAGGGGTGGTTCCCTATTTTTTATTTATTTATTTTTGTTGTTGCTGGGAGTTGGAACCCTATTAGTTAGGTTGCTTAATATTTACGCTAAGTACTCTTTAAAATACCAGAATAGGGAGGATGGTGTAGGTCTAAGTTTATTAGATTGATCAGTATTGCTGAACTATGAAATATTTTTTTTGTATACAGGTATAACAGAATAGCTTTAGTGTAGTTGTTGTTTTAAACTTGAGTATGAACTTGCAGACTTGCAAAATGCAGCAAGATATTTTAAAAAACAGTTTTGTTGATTAAAAAACACTATATCGGATTCATATCGGTATCGGCAGATATCTAAATTTATGATATTGGTATCGGTATCGGACATAAAAAAGTGGTATCGTGCCATCTCTAGTTGCAATATCTGCTTTTTATGATTGATGGTATGAAAGTAATTTTTTCTTTGAAACTAACAAACTCACAATATCAGTTTCCTTCTTCCTTGACTTCTTGCGTTCTCGTTTTGGAGCCTGAAAAAAGCAAACATGACAAAATTTGTTTTCTCTGTATTTCTTACCAGTAATGCCTTAAGATTAGCAATTTTATGATGTTATATCCTATGAAAGAATTTCTCTGTTATCATTTAATGAATTCATCCAGATGTTACTGGTCTTACCCTGCCGATGGTTCCCTCCATGGGCTTATACTCCGTCATGAATTCATCCAGGAACACCTTGAACGTGTTGACCCACACCTTCACGGGTGACTCGCTCCAGTCTCTCTGCTCCATACGCATCGTCTTCTCCAGGATGTGCTCAAACAATGCGTACAGATCCTTGTAACGGATGCTTTTACCATCATCCATCTGGTGGCGAGGAAAAAAGAAAGGAAAGGACGCAGAAAATGTAAATCTAGTTTAAGTGGCAGCATCTCGGTTTTTAAAATCTTCCTGGTCGTGTGACAGCAATGACAGAGTAAAAGAGGGTGTCAGACTCACAGCGAGGGCAGTGGAGTACGAGTTGAAGATGTTGATCCTGAATTCCTTCAGCGCTTTCTTAAAAACAACATCCACCATGGTGTCCTTTTTACCATCTTCAGAATCAAGATCGGCAATCTGAGGGAGCGAAGCACACCAAAATAATCTATATGGATCAATATGTGAATCGGAGTTTGGGGTGAACTGTTCCTTTAATTCTGTTTGATGTTTAATTTACACAGACAACCACATATGCATGCTGCATGAGAATTTAAACGTTACGTACTACGAGGTAACCCTTACAACTCTATGAACAGCGAAAACACACAAACACTGCTCTTTGTGTGAGTCAGTGAGGCGTGTGCGGCCTTTGCCCTCTCACCTTCTTCATGAGGAAGTCGTTCATGCTGCGATAGTCGTGGGCCGAGGTGAGGATGTGCAGCGCGTCATTCTGCCACTGGGCAGGTTCCAGAGCGATGCTGCTGATCTTCACGCTGCGACGTCTCTTCATTTTGGGAGACGGCTCCTTGTTCTCCTTACTGTCTCTGACCCCCCGAGATGAAGCCGCCTCCAAATCTGGACTGTGAGGAGGAGACGGGCCTTCTGCTACACAAAGACACCAAAGGTTTAGGCTTAATTCATCTAGGAATAAAATACACAATTTTTTTGTTTTGTTTTCCATTAAAAACGACTATTCCTTATGCTATACTGTGCACTTCTACTCTTCACAAATTTATTACACCATGTCTCAAATTTACTGCCAGAACAAATTCATGCTTGCAGCTCTGATCCTGTTTTTATTCACTTGTGTGTACCGCACATGGGTGTGACCAGGATATTCTGGAAGTAGAGCTCCTCTTGGAAGTCTTTTTCAACATTTAACACAGCTGCTATTTATGGATCGGTCCTGTTCACTTGTGCCTGGTGATCTGTGTCAGAGGCCCATCTCTCTCTGCAGTCTTCTCTCATCAGATGGCAGATGGCCGTCCCTCCCCGAGCCTGGTTCAGATAGAGGTTTCTTCCTGTTAAAAGGAAGTTTTTCCTTCCCACTGTCGCCAAGTGCTTGCTCACAGCGCCATCCGATTGTTGGGGTTTTCTCTGTATTATTGTTGGGTCTTTATCTTACAACAGAAAGCACCTCGAGGTGACTTTTGTTAATGTGATTGCAACTGACTAAAAACGAGTGTGCTCCTGGTTGCTCTGCCTTTAAGCTTTGAAACTCTTGAACTGCTGAGACACAGCTCTCTCATCACCAGCAATGATCCTTCATATTAAACCTGCTGTTCTCTGCATATCCACATCCATGAAGAAATCACAAAGCAAGAGGAAGATCCAGAAAGCGATCTAGAAACAGCAGCAATGCTGAGGCTGTCCAGAGCTAATCAGGTGACGTATTTCATTTTTATTTACAGTTCAGAGATAATTGTGAGCACATCTAGCGTTTGCGTGCTTATAAATCTGCTCAGAGGCTGTATGTGGCATGCTGAATAGCTTTTATTTTTACCATGTGTTTCTCCAACTTCACTCATGCTGGCCTGCTTCTCCCTTGACAGTTTTTTCTCACTGTGTTTCGTTTTACTCCAGAATCGCATCTTCCCTCTCATCCTGCTGAAAAAACAAAACAAAACAAAAAACTTCAACATCTAGCATAAAAAGTAAGATGTGACAAGAGAAAGTTGAGGAAGATCTACCTTCCATCTTGACTGGAGGTTTTCCTGAGGATCTCCATCTTGCCCAAGTCCCCTGATGACATGGTCTTATGGATTTTCTTCTGGTCTTTGTGAGACGACTGGAGAGAAAGATACAGTGAGTGAGAAAGACCACAAAACATATTTATAATCTGTCAGCTGACACGACTGTGACATGTTTTGATTAAGAATTCTGCAGAGTTTTATGGTTTTAGCAGAGTTTATTTGCAAAACTACAACTACTAAATTACTACTTCGAATAAATAAATGATCACATTAACTTCATGTGAAGAAACTGAAAAAATCGGCACCATAAACATGCACAGGCCTGATAATGAGAGTGTGTGATAGGCAAACAGAAGTCATATGTGTTAGACTGTGTAGGAAAATCTCATTGTTAGTGAGAAGTTACTCTGGTCCAGCTTTAATTGGCTCCAGCATGCAGGAGCAGTGCCGTGCAGTGCAATACGAGATGTTTTGTTTCAAGGACGGGTCAAGTTTGGGAGGTCAGAATATGAGAGAACAACGTCTTTGACCACATCACACGAGTCAAACGAGTTTGCGCTGGGACAGTCTGCGTTCAGTGCTGTAAAAGAAGAATATCTAAATAAACTCATTCTGAGTTTTAGCATTTTATTTTTCCTTCATGACAGATGCAAAACTGTGAGCAGTTTGGTCTAAGAGGATTTGTAATTTAACATGGTGAGGGGGACAACCACAGGTAGATAAGCTGAGGCTTCACCTATCATGTTGAATTTTCATTCACAGATACCACTGAGCTGTTTTTTACATCTTCTATTATTGTGAACCTATTGTGCTCAGTTTTAGCTCCACACTGTTACACATACCGTTTTCTCTAGCCAAGCTCCATTCTGTAGTCTTGCCCTTGCTGTAGGTCATTAGTTCAGTGTTTGACCTACGCATCTTTCTTTTGATTGGCTTACGCTCACAGACAAAAGGTTTAAATGGCAGGTGGGTGTGGCTTCTGTGCTGAGATGACCATATTAGAGATGATATTATCCTCTGTAATACGTCTGAGATGGAGGGTTTAGAGCAGTCTGAAGCTCACGCTTTAGGCTTGCAGGGATTACTTGATCTGTGGACATGTTTAATATGAGCTTCCTTCATTGTTTCATTACATATTCAGGGCTGGAGCTACACACCGACTCAAATAGCTGCTTGTTAAAACCACAGTGTGCTTCCATCACGTCACAAAGCAGAAATTCTCTCTTTAACATCAAAGTGAGCTCACTGCACTCAAACGACTTCCACAGTCGCCAGATCTCAATCCAACAGAGCACATCTGGAATGTGGTGCGACGGCATATTAGCATCATGAATATGCAGCACATTTATGCGTGACACTATCATGTCAAGATGGATCAAAATCTCCAGGAAGTGTTTCTAGCACCGTACTGAATCTGTGCCACGATGAATTCATCAGTTTAGAAGGCAAGGTAACTAATGACCAATGAGTATATATCACAGGAAATATAGGAAAGCATAATAGGTTCAGGTTACGAATAATTATGAGCTTTCAAAACTTGATGACTTTGCACTTCACTCTGTAAATCTGTAAATTTTGTATCTAATGAAACAATGCAAGCGAAGTGACCCTGTTGCATTTAGAACCTGTCTGAATAATTTAAGGATGATGACATTTTTGCAAAGCACATATTATCTGAATTAAACTAGCTGATAGAGCAAAGTGAAAACGGTAGTGTGGTCGAGAAGCTTGGACTTAGTTTCAAACTAGCAGCCACCAAAGCAGTGTGCAAGGCCATTCACAGCACCAAGTGACCTTTATCAGCACTGAGGAAAAACACAAACAGCGCTGCCATATTTAGCAGAGAAACATGTTTTTGGTCTGACAGCGTTGAAAAACTGAAAGTGGGGTTAGCAGTGTTAAAAGGCTCGTCCCCCTGTCGTGTGGCCAGATGCACATGAGAAGAAGGTAGAGAGGGGGACCGAAGTGGACAGGTTACTCGCACGGAGGTCAGGTGACCGCCGCAGACCCGGTATTTTACCATCTCGGAGTCACTGTGACAGTCAGCGTCGGGGTGGGAGTGTGGGGGAGACAGAGAGGGGGGCAGCGTGCAGGAGTGGGCGGGGATGTAGTATTCATCATCGTCATCCGACTGGGTCGCCCCCTCTGAGTTACAGCGAGTCAGGAAGTCGGAGCGCGTCCGGGACATTCGGGCTTTCTTTTTGGGGCCGGGGCGGCCCACCTGCTTCCAGGCAACCATAAGAATATATCAGCTGTGTGTGTATGTGTGTTTTTGTTGGCGTGCTTGTATTTACTTGTTTTGTGTCTTAAACTTGACTCAAAGTAAATAAAAATCTCAATCTTGAGTCTGAACTGAATGAGTAAAGATAACAATAATTACGATGTGCAAATGAAATTAAAGTGATGTGTAGAAGCTGCAGGCTCCTACCTCTCTGCTTCTGGATCCAGCAGACTTGGAATCATCTCTGAACATGGCGAGAGATCGTTCCTGGTTCACCAAATCCTTATCGGACCTGCATCAAATCACCACAGTTTAAAAGGTCCTACTTTGAGTTAACTGGTCTCTTTAAAAAGCGCTAATGAAGTCGACTTTTTTTTGTAATGAAGGAAAACTGGTGATACAGATTTGGGGAAATGAATCATTAGCCTTTAAACAGCACTGCAGGCTTGCAGCTGTTCATATTGCACTTTCAAAATAAAATGACTCGGATTAAGTGAGTTGATTTTTGGCATCTTCTTTAAGCAATTCTTCTTAAGCATCTTCTTTTGGCCATCACAATATTTAAGGGTTATGTTCACCAGCTCCAAGGGATGAAACTGTGCACCTATCTGGCCCAGGTTGTTCTATTGACACCATATGAAGACCTAGCTTAACACAACTGTGCAACTATCCACTGGGACTATTCACTCTACACGCCTCCTGCTTGTCCTGGCTAACTCAAAAAGATTCTCCCTTCCAGCAGATAAAGACCCCTCCACCCCCTCCATGGAATAGACCACGAGGTAAACAGTTTGCTTTGAGGAGTTTTCTTCCATTCAATCGAAACAGAAGAGGCACTGCAGGTGTGTTCATGGCGTTCCATTTAAATAGCTTCAGTGCACTCTGGAGAGGCAAATATACGCCTCGGCCCTGCTAAACAAACACAAAAGCACAGTTTACTTACTTGGAGAACGGCAGCTTGCGCCTGGGTGGGGAGAACACAGTACTAGAGGGTTTCTCCACCATGTTCACAATCACAGTCTGGGCGTTGCTCTTCTTCTGGGCCTTTGGAGGTTTGGTGTCCAGGACCGGGCTGGGGGCCTCCTTTGCTGACCTAATCGTCTTCCTCTCCTGCAGAGTGGGGAGTACGGCAGGAACGCTGCATGTGGGCTTCAGGGCAATTTTGATGTCCATCTCTGCGGAACAAATCCCTGGACCTTCCTGACTCTCTCCACGAGTGAAGGGAGCCTTTGAAGACTTACCGACCACAAATATGTCTCTCTTGGCTTGGGTGGAAACGCCGAGAGGCTGCTCCCTGTCTGATGCTATCTCAAGGCCTGCAATAGGGGTCATTTGGGCATTGGGTGCTCCTGTTTGAGAAGCTCTTTCTAGAGTTTGGGCTGCCAGCAGCTCTCCCTCTTCCAAAGGACTCTCTTTCTGCATACTGATCAACACCACTACAGGCCTTCGAGACGTGGACTCCCTTCTTTCTCTGTAAGAACTGCTGGGGCTTTCAGATTTTGGTTCATGAGCTGGACTTTGGTCAGAAGCAATATAAAAAGTTGCCCTCGGGGCCTCCACTTTGTTTGGCAACTCAGTCACAGGCTTTTCATTATAGTTGGAATCTCTCAGCCCCTGCTGAAGTTGAATATCCAGCGTCTTGGGCTGTTCCTGAAGTACACTGAGCTGAGAACTATATCCTCCGGAGCCTTCAGTTTCCATGTCTTCCACACTGAGAACTTCAAAACTTCCTTGACTAGCCGGGGACCCTTGGGGTGAATGTCTGTGATGCTCATCCTGTTGAGAGCTGCTGCTGCTGTTTGGGACCGGGTCTTCTGGCAGCGAACCCCCCAAGCTGGTACTTCGGACTTTAAGAAGCTCCAGGCTGAACTGTGCCTGCTCCAGCTCTCTCATTCGTCTGCTCTCTCGTTTCGACCGGTTCTTATGGCTGCTCTCGTCTGTGCTCCTGCTTCGCTCCAAGTCATCTTCTTTTTCCATCTCTGCTCCATAAAGTGAAACAGACTTAGAGTCTTCGGGGAGCTGTGCAGAGATGTCCTGGCCATAACTCTCCAGTCCGGATGAGGCGGGCTCTCTTCTTCCTGCCTCCATCGCTGCTGACAGACTTGTTTGTTCACCAAGTCTCTCGTGCTGCTCCTTGAAGTCTCTAAACCTGGAAACAGTAATAGTGAGGAAACAGAAGCCTATTATCCACATAGGCACCACCATGATTTTACTTCCTGTGCCAAAAACTTGGGTTTCTACACATTTTCACATAAAACACCACTTGGTGGCAGCAGATACAACTGTGAATCCTAGACTGTGCATACAGACAGATAGCGCAGGTGTCCCTTTGGATTGTTTGAAGTGTGTTCGAGTTCAACACTGTTTTGTTTTTTTTAAACCAGCAATAAGGTCTCCAAAGTAGCCCTGGTTAGAATTCCTGTGTAAATCTCATTGGCTGCATTTTGTTTAAATGCAACAATGTTAATGTGTCAGTGCATCAGTCCAACTATACAAATAAACACGCTGTATTTAAAAGACACTAATCAGTTGATTCAAACTACCTACAAGCTCAACTCCTTCACTCACCTGAGTCGAGCGAGGTATCCTCTGCTCCTCGCCTGTAACTGTATCATCGCTGCGTGCGTTCTGTGGTAACGCCTCCTCTCCCTGGATCCCTTCCAGGCTGTCTGAATTGCAGTAGCTGCCAGAGCCCTCCGATGGCAGCAGTTTTTCCAGCTCCTCTGTATGACGATCGCTGAATCCCGCCAGTGCAGGAACTTTCTCCTCTCTCTGTAACCCCTCCAAGCCGCCTGCAGACACAACGCCGCTCCCTCCTCAACGCTCAGGTCAATGGTGGACTGCCTGAAGAGGCAGAAACGCCACCATCGCTGAAAGAGAAAGAAAAGCACGGTGAGACAAAATAGATGTGAGGGAAAAAAGTCAGGCTGGGGATCCTTGAATATGTTGAGCTAAGCTTTGAATATTTTTTTAAAAGAAAAAGATGCTCATCCCCCTTTGGGACCACCTAAAATATGTGCATATCTGTGAGGCTAAACTGACGCAGTTTATGTAAGAGATGTATGAAATTTGACGCCTGTTATTCATTCACTATGTCAAATCAATATGATGCAGTATGACTGACACCGCAGGAATGTTTGATTCAGAAAACTCCTCACGTTATTTTGATTAAGCCCAACTCCAAAACTTGAACTGTAATCTTGGAAGGCCCACGCAGAAATGCAACCAACAAGCACAGAATAAAAATCCCACATGTGACAGTTTATGTTTCGATGCTCTGATATTCTCTCGTAAAAGTTATCTGTGCCTGAATGGATCCTGCTCTGGAATGACCTGGTGTGTTTTCTTTCAGTCTCATGAGGATTTGGACAGCTTCTCTCCAAGAACTCTTCCAGAAAAAACAGAAAGAGCAAATTTGTTGTCTTTCATCCTCTCTCTACCACTTAGTGCTGCATCGTTTTTTCCACAGTATTTACTCTGTAGCACACGTGTTATTTCTTTCTTATAACTCATTAAAAATGTAACATATTCAGTCATGATTTAATACAGTAGCTTTATACTTAATTTCATACAATTTTATTCGTATAGCACCAAATCACCAAAAACCTATCAAAAGCTTTCATGGCTTTTGCTTCCACTAGATCGATCGTGCTCACCAAAGTAAGCTAAATAGCAACTGACTTTGGCCTTTTAGATGAAAACACACTGCTCTGGATTTATAACAAGACAAATGAAAGCTGAATACACTCAGGCAAAGGCGGTGCCTGACTCAGGACATCCACTGGAGCATTATCTGGTATATGGATGCAATCGCATTAACATGGATTTTGTGTTAGAGACTTTGCTAGTTAAAGACCAAGAAGACAAATATCATACTTTATATCCCAACGCAGCATCATTGAAGGTCAGAGCTCTCCTGTGAGGACACAAGTGCTTATCATCTCAAAAGGAGAGACTATGTTTTAAGAACCATGACACTTAAAGAGTTAATACACAGCTATTAATCATCTAATGCTTAAACAGTCCCAGACTGGATTAGTGATACCCTTCGAGCATTAAGGAGAACAGAGGAACAAAGCTATAGAATTGGACCACTTCTTAGGCCCATCCCATCACAGCGTCTCACCTGAATGGTGCACGCAGCTCGTCTCATGTTGACAAAGTGCTTCCTCTCCAGAACTGCCCTGAAGCGGCGCTGCAGCATGACGATTCTCCGCAGGACCTCCTGGTGCAGGAGGGTCTGAAGACGCTGGCGCTCGGCCTCGCGCAGGAACACCTGCATCATACAGAAACATTAGGTAAAGTGAAGTTGCTGAAGTCCACTGCATGGGACATTTTAAAAAAACATATAGAGAGAAGGACAGTCCATTTATAATTTCCAGAATTCGTACCATGGTGCTGCCCACTTGGTACCCAGCAGGGGGCAGGTGGATCCGTCTGAAGAACTCCCTGACGCCCGACTTTGTGGGGCTAGTGCCCCGAGGCAGCAGCACATGGAAGTGATGCACAAAGTCCTGAAAAAAGGATTTTTGTATGTTCATTTTCTGGTGATTCATTTTGTGATGAAAATACAACATTAAAAACGTGTTTTGTTACATGAAGACAGAGTTCTGGTTAAGATTAAATACAGCAAGGAAATCTAAACATCATGACAAATGTTATTTTCTCAATAAAGTAAAACATCTTTTAAGCAACATAGTGATAACATGGCTTTGGCTGTGGATCTGCAGCGCAGTTGCGTTAGGAGGGGATTACCTGAAAGGTGTACTTGCTGCTGTAACCTGATTGTCTGATCCGGACGGTTTCCAGCATACCTGTGTACCTCAGCTGTCTGAGCACCAGACTGTCGTTGAAGCGCAGCGGCAGCTAAGTGGGACAGAAAAACAACAGGAGCGCTTAAACACAATCCAGCAGTCGGTCACTAAGAGGAGTGGAGGCTATTCTGCAGGAGCGATCACCTTCTCAGCGTTGGAGCGAATGCACTTGACAAAGTACGGCTCCGACTGATCCAGAGTCTCCATCAGCTTATTGAGCGACGCCTGCACACACAAACTGAAATGATCACACTTTTGCTCTTTGTTGTTACTGATGCTGCTGCACGTGCTCGTGCTGCCGTCTGCTGTGTCACCAGTGTTGTTGTAATTCTTTGAGTGCTCCAGCAGAGGGAGAAAGCGGCACTGACCTGGAACTGAGCGCTGATGCTGGGAGGCTTCTTCTTCTTGTGCAGATGAAGCAGAGACTTGGTGATGCGGTCGTGGAGCGTCACGCTGCTCAGGTAGCGCAGAGACTTAATGTCCAGCAAGTGCTGCGCACAAAAACCCGGATCATTTACAAACCTGTGTATCACTGAAGTGAATGAACACCTACTAAGTTTTGCGTAGTGTCAGGTCAGCGTCTTACCTTGGGAAGAGTTGGTTTAGTTTTGCAGTTTTTGTTTCTCCTGAACATGAGAAATTATAATTAGCAGATATTATCAGCAGACTCAACAGCTATTAACATCTTTTATTTCCTCTGTATTAGTGCTGATACGCTCTCTTATCCCTTCTTACAATCCAGCCTTACAGGCCTTACAGTATGCTGGGGGAAAGCGCCTTAAAAACCATTGCTTTAAAGACAGCCTATTATACTTGTCTGTATTTTTTGCCGGCTATACTCTATACTGTTACAGTGACATTATATTAAACATGCCAAAGTTTTGATTCATGAAGTCTGTGTGTGTGGATAATCCCTGTGACTCACAGTCTGCTCAAAACGGCTGCTTTTAGACAGCTATTTCCTTCCTTGGCTCTGTATGATGTTAATGACTGCAGATAGCCCTCAAATGGGCACGAAGATCTGGCTGTCAGCACCAGAAGCCTGACACATCTGCCGTTTAAACCTCCAGTTTACAACTGGGGAAGCCAATCAGAAGATTCAGACAGCGTATGAACAGCACCAAGTTAGAGTGTAAGATATCCAAGGAGTTTTTAAAACTGTGACTGACGCAAAGCTACTTTAGTAGAGTCCAAGAATAAAATTAGTTGGCAGGAAATGAGCAGAATAGGCTCCATTTAAAGCGTATCACTACTAATATTAGACCAACAGGGGCGGGCGAAGCTCAGGAAGTAGAGTGGATTGTCTACTAATTGGAAGGTCAATGGTTTTAAATTGCTCCTGATGTATTGTGTGAGTGTGTGGGTGATAGATAAAAGAGCTTGAAGTGCACAGAACAAAGCACTGTATGATTGCGTGTGCATGGGTGAATGCATGCTTGCAGGGTAAAAGCGCTTCGAGTGCTCAGCGTGATATACTGGATTGAGAATTATCAAAAACAAACAAGCAAACAAAAAGACTACTGTGACTTTGTGATATGTCACTCACATTAGAATTCCCTGAGCTCTCTCTAGGAGCTTGCTGTTGTTCGAATTGAGGAAGATCCCATCTTCTTCCAGCGCGGGGCTTCCCATTGAAGAGAGGCGACCCGACCTGGAGGTGCGACCATTACATCCAACGCTGTAGCCATCCCTACAGGGAGGGAGGAAGAGTGAAGATCAGCACAGAGGCATTTTATTTAATACTAATAATACACACTCGAACTTACCAGCTGGCCTTCTCATTGAGGGCGTTGGTGCCTTGAAGATCTGACAAGGGGGTGCGGGGATTCTTCCTGGTTATACCTGGATAGGAAGTGGTGAAGGGAGGAAAAGGAAAGGAAATACAAAAAGGAGTCAAAGGTCACAGGGTTTATCAACACCTACATCTCACTCACCCCGTGTTTGAAGCCACAGCATTAAGATCCAGCGCTTAAGGGTCTCCACTAATCCCCTAACTCCAACTCTCTACCGTTCTTCGTTTTCACTGCTCTAACACACTTCTTCTTTATACATGACAAACAACTATCTTCAGGGCAGTATCTCTGTCCCACTTGGACTCTATTAGAGTGGCTTTGCTATCTGAAACAAGCTATTTTAGCCTTCTTCTGATTGGCTGCCCTAAACAGCAGGTGCAAAAGAAAATTGCCCAGATTACCCGTAATTTGGGCATTACAGATATTATCTTAACAAGGCTCTTTCAAAGCAAAATATAAACATTACAGTATATGACTGTTTTCACAGGCTTACTTGTAGTAACCATGACTAGTACACAGATGTCGAGGTGCAAAATCATCAGACTTTCTCTTTTACAGGAAAAAATAAAGACTTGAGAAATTCTCTTGGGAATTTCCTTTGAAATGAGTTGCATTGCTGGAAAGCTGCTAAATCCCACTTCTGCAAAGTGCTGCTTTACAACATTAGGATACATGACATGACTTGAAGTATGCAAAAACACACTCAGGCACACAAATGTGATTATCAGTGCTGAAAGGAGTGATAAAGGACGGCCAGAAAAACCGTGGGTGTCATTAAACCCTTCTGGTCTACAGAGACCTGATTCATTTGTCCGATCACTCATGCGTGGGAAAATTTTTGGTTATGAGCTTTGCTCCTAGGCTGAGTCAATCTGCCCAGAGCTCAGAGTGACCCACATACCTGATTTCTTATTAATGGCTGCAACAGAACCAGTTTACCGGGCCTCAAAACCACAAGCCACCCATTATGATCTATATAGCACAGGATTCATTCCTTTCATTAGGCCGAGCTATGTGCCTTCTTAACTCACAAGGAATCAATCCATTTAAAAACCTCTTTCACAAGGATCACCTTCCAAACTCTACTTAGATATGAATCATAACAATTCAATATAGTACCATTTAATACATAAGTGAAGATAAAACACATTAAACCTCAAAAATTACATCAATTTTCAAAAGAATGCCTCTCATATTCTTAGCAAATTGAATTTAAATGATCAATACCAAAAAATATTGCACGCTCAAATAAGTGCTGACCTTTCAGTTTTACAGAGGGTCCCTATTATTCTGGCTTCAAATTTATTGAAATATTGACCCTGCAAACCTATCTTTAAAATCTGACAAAACAAATCCACATATGAGGACAAGCGAAATCCCACATCCTTATTATTTATAAGGATAACACTCATCATACGAACGTGAAGGGTGCAATATGCAAGATTATATATGCAAGAAATATAGCTTTGTGTCAAAGACATCTGTGTTGTATATCTACTGAAGTTGGGATAGTATTCAGCTAGGACCAGCTGTACCTTTCCGTAATACCAATTTATAGCTCAAGAGGAGCTACTGACTCATCCTAGTGTCCAGTCTGTCGAACTAACACGAAAAGAAGAAGCAGCGCTCCCCAGAGATTGTTTTTCACTTTTATACAGTCTATATACAAAGCAGGCAGTCAATAAATGAAACAAAAACATGATGACTGCAGATCCTGGGAACCAGCAGTAATGTGTGACCTGCCTTGGATTGCGTTGAATCCATGCAAAGCCTACCAGGTTGCCTATGCAGGCAGCTGATGTTGTTGCCAGCTTTTATACTTTTGCATGACACAGTGTACTGGTGTAAATCCCAGCGTGTAGGTGATAGCATGTACAAAACTCCTGCTAAACTGCTAAGACTAGCCAGACTCTCAAACTAATGTGTTTGTAAGTGCTACACTTTTTAGTGACATTCAACACATAATTTGTTTATGTATTGTTTTTGGGAGATTTTCTTTCTCTTAGACTAGTCGACTTGCCTAAATACTTTCTGCTATTTAAAAAACTAGCGTCCAAAGATTAGCATGGTAGGCTAGTTGGCGATTCTAAATCAGTTGTAGGTATGAGAAATATAAAGTGCTTTAGGTGTATAGACAGGGGTGCACATAAGTGGTCCACAGGTGCGCATTCGCTGTCAAAATAAAAGACGTGCACCAGATAAAAAGTTGCAACGCGCGTTTGCGTCCATATAAAAAGCACTGTTTTTGTCCGCTAGAGTCGGATTTTCACGGCATATTCCGCACCACATCTCTATGTGTTCATCATTTGTTTGAAGCCAGCTCACCTCCTGCAACTACTTTTCCGAGAATACACGCTTCTTTTGTGGTTCGGACTCCTTCTGACATTTCTTTGGAGGTGGAGGAAGACCAAAGTAATTGCTTAAAGGAGCTTCTTCGACATCTTTAAGAGTTCTAAACAAATGTCTGTCCTCCTGAAAATCTTATGTACGCAAACACGCGTTGCAACTTCATATCTGGTGCACGTCTTTTATTTTGACAGCGAATGCGCACCTGCGGACCACTTATGTGCACCCCTGTGTATAGACTGACCTGCCGTATGAACATATGGTTCATTATAGTTGATTTGTAGTTTTAAGTGCCTTGAGTGGTCAGTTAGACTAGAGTGCTACAAAACTGTGTGTAGGCTGCACTTTTAGCCTAGCATCGCTTACACCCGCAGCAAGCCTAGTTTGCCTTTCAAGTCAGTCATGGAGGTTGGTTGTTGACTGATGATGTAACAATTATTGGCAAGTGAAACAAAAGAAAGCCACACTAAGAAACAAAAGTAACACTGCCACTTCTAGGCTAAACTGTTTCACATATTCCACCTTTGCAAAACAAAAAATCATAAGTAAGGTGAGGAATAGAGAAAAACACAAATAACTAATACAAACTGTTATTTCAGTTTGATCAGTCTCAATTTTTGGTTAATAATCCATAAAACATGAAACATGTATGAACAAAATACTGCAAAAATCCATGACAATCCTTTTGCAGCACAAAACCGTATCCATGGTGAAATCACAGTGTGTGGGACTGAACTGAGGCTGCACACAAGTCTCTCCAACTTTCTTCCCACCGTCTATTAGTATGAATGTGTGCAGGAAACTCCGGTTACTTACTGTATTTCTCATCTTTGCATCTTTGAAGGATCTCGAGGCTCCGCTGGTGAACAGGGTGGTGAAGAAAACTGAAGCTGTCAACGGTTTTAACAACAGCACAGGGAACTGCTGCATCATTCCCTAAACCAGAGAGAGGGAGAGAAAATATGACAGTAAAGTCTAGTCAAGCATCTATCAGGAATATTAAACATAATAATGGTTATACTGTGAGTGGATTAAGTCACTAAGCTCTTTGGAGTTTGGAGGTTAGATCTACACAGAGAGTAGATAAGCTGGGAATAATGAACCAACTCCATCACAACAACCTACTGTCATTCAAAACCATGAGTCAAATGCTTATGAATGCCGACTATTGATTTTTAATACTGAAGGTTTGACGTAGTTCCTCTGGTGCCCACTGTAGTGGTACCGAATCTGTCCTCACAGAATCTATAAAAGATTGAAAACCTTGCTAAACTTCCTAAAGCGAACAAAAGGCAAAGCAAAATTTTCAATTGTGGAAGTTTGTAGCCGAGCTCCTGTTCAACCATGAGCACACCCCCCTGCACTTTTTACATAGCCTGGCTACTTGAGTCCCGACTGAAGACAGAAAGTTTATTATGATAAGGTAAATACACCAACTAACCATGTACAAATATTTAAAAAGGCCCACATCTTAACAATCAATCATTTTTCTGTAGCTCCTACTGTCAGCTTGGTTAATATTTGCGATGCGCAGTTTAGCTTATGGAAAACAATACTACACACCTGTATACTTAATATATTTGAATGTATAGCTAGTCACTGTTATCCTCATTTTGGACAAAGAAATGTTATCAAATAGTAATCTGAGACAAACTCCGAAAGTTTCTGTAAATATAATTTCTTCTGAAAATGAATGCAGAAAACACCATAAAAGTATCTGTAGCACCTGCAGGTAAGTTAGTCTTTCGTAACAACTATAGGGGGAGAGAGTGCTTTTACTTCAAGTCTTCATACCATAATTACCTGACATCTAACATGGCTTGCTGTGCTGTTATTTGTACACACAGCCCAGCCAACTGTTTTGGATTATGAAATAGTGTTTTTGGAAGGTTTCCATGTCTGTACACTGCACCCATAAGTTTTCAGATGCAGCTTGCTAAACCAAGCTTTCCAGTGTTAGCTAACAGCTTTAACAGTCTACTCTCTCACCCATGTGTGGTCACATTTAGCATAAAAAAGTTTTTTATTTTTTTTTAAAGAAGTTGTGGCTGCAACAGCCATCTTTTATATACAGTCTATTATGGCAGAACATTTTTTTTCCTGGCCTTTAACTTTAACGGTTTACTGCATATACTGAACCTGCAGGGTGTTCTTCACCTGTTTTTTTGTGGGTGTGTCTGCGTCCAGCCTCCCTGAACGCCACATGAGCTCTGAAGTAAGCGCGGAGCACGGCCCAGCGAAAGGTCGCCACGGGGTCGATTCCCATCAGGCCGCAGATGAAGGCGTTCTTGCTGCTCTTGAGCAAGGCCACAATGTCGGGACGCATGTGGTCAGTGTTCTTCTCCCTGAAGTCCTGGATGAAGGAAAGACGTGTTTTCAAAACTGAGTAACAGCCTATTTCTTTCATTTAAAGAAGAACGTTAGGCAACCTTTGTAGGACTAAAGCATGAAAGCACAAAGCTGAAGTATTACAACAAACAAGGACCTTAGTTATTGCTGTGGCTGCGATTTTATTTCTTGTTTGTAAAGCTGTGGAAAGGCACTTGGCAGCAGAGTTTGCAACTATTTATGGGCAAATGTTTCACCTCTTTTCTTTACTCAGTTGTGTGGATAGAGTTAAATAGCTTGCATGATAGCGCCATCGATTTTCATCTAAGACTTGGCAAGAATGCAAATACATATTAGTATCTAAAATGTCAAAATATTGCTTTAATCTTCAAAGCCATAATTAAAATGAAGCAGTTTTACAGCCTGTAAATATGTACTTAATTCACGCTTGTTGTCATGCACCTTTCGCTTCACATTAAGCACGAGGTGAGGAAAAATCTTCTCACACATCCATACGAGTGGAGAAACACATGCCCCACGCCCTCTGCCCCATCTGTCTGTAAGGAATGAAATATTCCAACTTGAAGTGGTGCTATCATAACAAAGCTTGAACTATAAACCCTTCTCTGTCCATATGAAACAAATCAGCTGTGCGCTCGCTGCCGAGCCAACGTCAGGCACATTTCACGTCTGCGGCTCTCGCTGCACGGTTTGCACCAAACGACTCACTGGCTCTGAGCAAATATAAGATATTTTTCCACAGCTGAGATAACCAGCTGTTATGGATTTATATTATACAGTGAAACAACAATACGCTCGATCCAGTCCAGCACATGTGCTTCTTATCAAAACGCAGCTGGGAAACGAGCAGAGAATTAGATCTAACTGCAAAAATAGGTCGACAGAACAAGCAGATCTGCGGCAGGGTTTCAGGATCCATAAAGACTCGAGTGAAGTGAGACAGCTCAGACTATCAAAATCTCAATTTGATGCAAACGAAAGGTAGAAAAGTGGATGTCAGATTCCGAACTGTAGTTCCTGGCTTCATCAGTAAATTGATGTTATCACTGGAGACATGTCTCCTAACACTTTATTTAAAATGAAGTCCGCAGCAAAATTAACAGATATCAGTGGAAAAAAATCTCTTTTTTTCACGTAACTGTTTGTGCCAGCGTGCTCGGTTTAATGCCTAATTTTGGGTTCATTCGCAGCTATTAGCAGGTGGGGCCGTTCTGTAAATCCAGGGCAGCAACAGAGCAAACGGTACATAACTCCTGGATTACTGTTACAGTTGGCTGCCCTGAGATTATAAGCAATTACCAACACGTGCAGGGTCGGGGACACAGTGAAACTACAACGCTGAGGCTAGGATGATCATCGGTGGTGACGTGCTACTGTAAAAAGCAGATCAGATCTTTTGCATGACAGCAGAGACTCGTCTTACCTTGACTCCGTACTTGACTTTCCCAGCGTAGTGTCTGATGATGAAGGCAGGCTCCATGACAGTGGGGAACTCGATGTAGCTGTTTCCTTCATGCTGACGCTTGAACTTGTCCAGCAAGGTCTGATTGGAAGCTTGAGGGAAACTGCAAAGACATTGATTTCATCAGGCTCGCATTCAAAGTCTCTAAAGACCAAAGTGGACACACTTTGGTCTTTAGAGACTTTTTATCTTCTGATTATTTCAGGAAAATAAAAAATAAGTTACAAACATTACCACCACCTGCCACATTTTTCCCACACATCTGCTTTCCTGCACTTCTCAAGCGCTCATCCCATTCCTCTAACCCCAAGAGATTAAAACTCCCTGTCACATATTTAATCCCATGATTTAAATTTAACCACAAGGGTGCCTACGAGGCCTCCACTTGCACATTCTTCTTTGGTATTTTCACCTCTGCTTTATGGACATTTAAGCCATTAACTACTAACCTCTGCTGGCTGGATCAACATTCCTGGAGATGTTTCATATCACCTCTCCTCCCTGCACCTCCAGACCGCCCTGCCTACCCAGGTGGAGGTCCTGAAGTTTGATGCTGTTAAAGTCAAAATGAGCCCCCACACTCGTCTGATTCTGCAGTAACATAATCCATCTCTCCAGAGGCCCTGAAGGCTGCACTAGCTGTGAGTGATGAGATCTCCAAGAGACTTTCCTTCTTTTGCTATAGTCATTTAGCATGAAGCTCCTTCCTGCGGCAGCACAAACCCTGGGAGAGATCCTGTCTGCCTCATTTTTTTCTTCAGAGATCCCCCTTTGACCCTATTTCTTCAAAATTGCTTCCCCACACCCCAACACGCACACACGCTGTATGAACAAATACATACACGGCATTCGGTCCACTCCCAATGTTATTACATCCAGATGAAGCAGCTACGCTAAGTGGCAGGTAAGATGACAGCTAACATAGATAAATATGGTTCCAAAGATGCACCGCCTGGTGTGTTTTTCTATGCGAGGGGGCTGGGGGAGCATTTGATTTGATTTATGAAGAAGAAAGATGCCGAGACAGAGAGCTGACCCGCAGTACAATGTTTCACCATAGGAAAGGCAGAGAAAAAGCACAACCTGTTACAGTAAAAGTGGGGGAGGAATCAGTATATCTTTGGTTAAACCCTGGTACGAGTCCCAGTGTTGGTATCGATCAGGCTAATGAATGAAAAGCCTGCAGAGGGAGCAATCGGTCTCTTCAGTTTAACAGATGCACGAAAGTAGTTTCCGTGTAGCGTGACCATCATTGATGAAGCACACTGCAAGGGGACAAAGTTTAAAAGCAAGAACCAAACTGCAAGCAATAAAAGACCTATCTATACTCTGCTCTTCAACTGGTTTCACCAATAATCAGCTACATTTATATCCTCTCCTCATGTTTAGTGAAAATCCCAATAATCAGACAACCCATTTGAATAAGCACTTGGCAACAGTGGGAAGGAAAAACTCCCTTTTAACAGGAAAAGAAACAGGAAGAAACTATCTAACGCAACTGGTTAAGTGTGAGGGGAGGGAGACAGGACAAAAGACACACAGATTAATGATAACCAATGATTAAAAGCAGAGTTGTGTATAAACACAAAGAGAGCAAAAGCAGGTGAGTAAAATAGAAACACTCATGGGAAGCCCCCAGCAGCCAAGGGTCTATTGCAGTATAACTAAGGCTACGTCTACACTAGCCCGGATAAATTTGAAAACTGTGTTTTTGTCTGAAAACGCTCTGTGTCCACACTAGCGTTTTCAGTCGTTTTCACAGAGTTGTGCGTCCACATTGAAACAGACGAAAACGCTTATGTTCCAGTACTGTGCATGCGTGAAACGCAAGAAGATTCGACCTGCCTCGTTTCTGTCTGCCGTTTATTTACTTTCCGGGTCTTTGAAACGTTGCGGCAAAATGTTGAGGAAAAGTTTTTTTAAATGGACTAACAATGAGGTGGAGTTGTTGCTGCGAGTAACACAAAGGTACAAAGTTGTAAAAGCGAGTGAGAATAAAATAATTTGAAGAAAAGCTATCTGGAGCATGTACAGACTGATATTAATCTTTAATAGGGCTGTCAAAATTAAGTGCAAACAAAACAACTGCTGTATAATGCCCTCCGCTATCTTAGTTTAATTGGTCACATGACTGCATCACATGACTAAAATGTGTCATCCGTTTCAAAACGTCTCCGAGTTCGCTGTCCACACTGCAACGCGAAAAACGGCCTTTTCAAATGTATCCGCTTTGGAGAGCTTTTTCAAAACGCTGTGTTTTCCTTTACCGAAAACGCCGTCTCAGTGTGGACCAGAGGCCAAAATGGAGAGAAAAAGATGTGTTTTCAAACGAAAACGTATTAGTGTGGACATGGACTGAGGAAGGGTCACCTGAAGCCTCCCTGAGAACCCATGCTCAGTTTTCAGGCCTCTGATTCCATTTTATAGTTGATAAAATACACCGTTTCCCTTATAACACATGGAGGAAACCAGCAGTTGTGCAATATCTTGCAGAAAATGGTTCGACTGACAGTTTTAATGATTATCTAGTAAACAAACACGATCCATGCTAATCAACAGGTGCCGTACTTGCACTCCTCGTCCAGCAGGTGGAACAGAGCTGTGGGTTTCTTGCTGATTAGGTTGATGCAGCCACTGTTGTCGATGTAGTCGATGTTGTGCCAGGTGATGCCCTCTGCCCTGTACTCTTCCTGCAAGCAAGAACAAACAGACAGGAGAAGGATGGTCAGTAACTTTGCGAAACACAAATGAAGCGAGACAAAAAACCCGTGTGTTAATGTCTTTGATCGCTATGTAGCTAAAGTCTGACAGGATTTCTTGCATATGCTGTTCTTCTGAATTGCTTTCATATTTTCCCACAGGCATATCTATCAATCAGTCTCTAGCGGCACTACAGCACGAGAGGTTAAGCATCTTACACATGCAGCAGAGCTGTTTACCAGCGCTGCAACCAAACATGTTCTGTTTTGCATGAGATTTTGACTTTGATAAGCATGGTTCGTACAGGCCAAAGAGTATGCTTATGCTTGTGCTGGCTTTCCATAGAACTCAATCAGGAAGTCTTCAGTGATGATTTCATTCCGCTGAAAAACCTGAGCCACCATTAGGAAAACACCTGGCTGCTTGCAGACTGTCAGAAAAAGCCATCTGGCAAGATCTGTCTGCCTCTGAAAGATATGACCCTGGTACCCTTGACACCCCTAAGTAAGAAATCAGCGAGCCTCTGCCAGCTGGAGGCGGAAAGCATGAAAAGTTGATTGGGGCGGGATGAGGTTAACGTTCTGCTCTACTAAGAAAACTACTGTTGAGGTACATTTGAGAAAGTCATGTAAACAGGTCCTGCTCCAAAACCTTGCAGGTTAGAGAGTGTCTTTCAGTTAGGCTGCTGGAAAAGAGGATGCACACTCAGCAAAAGGTTTAATGGCAAGCACCACCAAAGCAGAAACCTGGCTGAAAAAAAACCACAAGAAAAGAGGGTGGGGGTATCAGATTAATCAGCTGGACAGCATTAAACAAGCAGCCAATATCCAAAGACAGTAAGAACAATGAATTGATAATTGTGCTACGATTAGAGCCTTCATGTTCGACGACACGGGCTACACTGCAAACAAGTCCTCAGAAATCTCCTGATCACTGAAAATGACTGGATTGGTTGTTTGCATGAGCTCTTAATACGAGTTTAGCGACCTCTAGTGGGCGTGTGTGAGCTCATGTAAAATGAGCACTTATATCGCTACCCTTACACCTCTTTTGCGCAGACACAGTGTGGGTCCTGGTGCTGAGCCAGACTGCCTTTTGAGAACATTATTACACCTTGTCGCTAGCAGAAGTTGGAGTCAATCACATCAGCCAAAAACTGCTTTCTTACAGCACTGAGCAGTCACATATTTTTGCCTACCAAATTTGTGGTGGAAGCTTTTGCTTTGAACAGATTCTAGACTGGGCCCCAACCATAGGTAAGTTGATTGGACATAACGTTTTTAGTGGGAGAAACGTTTCTGTCGCACGACAGACAGGCGACCTGCCCATGATGTACTCAGTCAGATATCCCCGTGGCAGCTGGACTCAACCCTGAATTGGATACATGGAAGAAAATGGATGGATTCAAAGACTTCCTAAAGCTTTCTTACCATGTCTAATCCTCAAAAAGGGTTTACTTGAACCTAAAAAGTACTCAACAAGTGAAAATTCCTCACCACACTCCATCTTCTGTTTCCCAGCAAAAAGTTGGGTGTGTTTGTACCCTGGCAATAAGTCAATTCAAAAACAAGCAGTAACACAGGAATGTGCATAATGATTAATGACTAATCCTAAAATAAACCCAATTGTAAATGTGACTGTATGGGAACAAGTTCAGGGTTTATGTGTGCTTGGCATTTTTAGGTGTCATAGTGTAGTTCAGTCTTACATTTACATGTTTGCATCCTTTATATGGCTTTATTAGAGAGCAAATATAGTGGAACATATGCTGGCCATTTGTTAAACTGAATAGCGATCAAAAATTCAAAGCGGAGCTGCAACATAGTTTCACATATGCAACATGTCTGCCCTGTCCTTGTTTTAGGCTGCTGAATCACCGATGAGGCATTTAGAACATGTGGCGTGTTTTGCTTTTATTCCGAGGTCGCACCGGATCAAGTAAAATAAAAACAGAGGCGTAAAGAAGTTTAAATCTCTTTTTGTTTAAATCTCATCAAGGACGAGCGCCGGCACTGCTGGCCGACGCGGTTCATCTGGCTACATTTGTTGTGTCTGTGAGAGTTTGTGAACATGCACACTCAGTCAGAGAGAGAGGGGCAATTAGATACAGACACTCTGATAATGAGATAAGCACACACACGCAAGCACTAATCAGCCATTTTATTACATAGGCACATTAACGTAAACAGCCCGACCCAGCAGACAGAGGACTACAAAGTGGTGACTCAGTATGTGAAGAATGTACAGAAGGTCTTTCAGTCATGATTCAACCAAACAGCAAACCAGATCCGACAACTTAGAAACAGCTGCTTTAGGAATTTTCTTTATGCACTGCAGAGCGACCCTCTAATTTTTATATGCAAGACCCTATTCATGGAAGTCCTGTTAACACAGTAATTGAGAGTAGCAAATAAATGCCAATCAAGGTCTCGTTCTAGTTGAGCTGGCAGAAAGGAGAGCTCAGATGAAAAAATGCTAACAGAGGAGACGCACTAAAGCTATATCCAGTCTGATATGTTTTTATTTTAAAGTCGTTTTTAAAGTGGAAGTGATCCCTGCTCATTGGAGCATTTCCAAAATGATTTCTACCTTTACTGACACGTCTGTTTAAAAATATTACACTGACCATTCAGTGGGCACAGGTGCTGGTGTAAACAGGAAGCAGATGGTGGGTTTGCTTGGAGAAAATATAACAGAGGAAGAAGAGAAATGGCTAAAAGAAGAAAGATTCCTTTGCCTGGACCATTGGTCTCAGGATTTGCAGCTGAGTGTGAAGCAGCTGGGATGAGAATTAGCAAGTCTGAGGCCACAGTTCTCAGTGGGGAAAAGGATGGAGAGCCCACACTGGGTCAAGAAAGAGTCACCGCCCCAACAGGAGGACTTCAAGTTTCTCAGAGTTCTTGTTCACAAGTGAGGGGAGAAAAAAAGAGCGAGACGAGCAGATTGTGTGGTACACGGAGGAGAGACGAGAGGCCTGAGCGTGAAAATGTTCATTTACTCCCTAATCTACTACTCCTAACCTTACCTGTGCTCACAAAATCTTGGTAGAATGACATCGAGGACAGAAGTGGGGGAAACAAACTTCCTGCAAAGGGTGTCCGGGCTCTCCCTTTGACAGGGGGGAAGACGATCAAGGTCACTTGCCTGCTTGTTTTTTTTGTGACTGTACAGATTTGTTCACGGAGTGTCTCCACAAAAACTCTCAGCTATCTTTGTGACGCCTGTTATTTGGGCAGCTATTAAAAAACATTATCAAAATTAACTTAATTTTAATCAGTTTTGGGGCACTGAAAAAAGTACTTCTACTACCTTTTCTGTGGATGGGTGTTTAGTTCTGATTTAAACTCATACCAAGTTTAACTCAGACTCTGTTGAGGGCCATCTTTCTGTCTTTGTCTCTGAAATATAAGGCTGATAAGATTTCCCCAGTACAATAGAGGCTTCAGATCCTCCACAAAACATGATGAAATAAATTTGGCAAAACCAAACCACTGTAAACAGAGAGAGATGTAACTGATATTGGACCCCTAAAATCCAATCTGCAAGCAATAAAAGCCCTCAAACCTCCCGCTAAGTCGAAAGTGAGCCGGGAGTTCTGTTGCGGTCGATGAGGTTGGTCAGGATTTGTGGTCATCCTTCCATCCATTAGTCAACCATGTGTCTGTTCTCTCCTGCGTAACTCAGTGCAGCATTCAAGCAACCCAGATTGTGTTTGGCTGAAAGCCCCGGTGTAGAGGTGAGGGAGGGTGTGTGTGTGTGTGTTTCTCGATTGCTCCTGCTATCTCTCCACTCCCTCCGTCTTTATATTTCTAACTCACTAAGCTCCCTGTCTCTCTTATTATGACAGCAGAGTGTTTTTATTGAGCGGACAGGAGGAACAGTGGTGCAATAATTGGAGATGGAGCAAGTTCTCGTGGTTTTAAAAGGGTGAGGAGAAAAAGACGTCAAAACTGGCAGAGATGCAAAAAAAAAAAAAAAAAGACGGGCTGGAGTGTGTGCTTTGGGGAAAAAGGGGCATCCAGAAAGGAGAAAACTAGCAGAGACCAGAGACCATGAAATGTCAAAGAAAATTCAAAGACTTATCCATTAATGTTGTAAGGTTGGTGGGTCCTCAGTTAAAGTTTTGCATTCGGCTCCAGTTAGTGTCATTACTGGCAGCATGAAGCCATAAATGGACACTACAAAGGTTGCACAAGTAGTCCGACTGCTCCAGGATGGCACATCAATATATGTTTATTGCCAAAACGTTTGCTGTGTTTCCCAGCACAGTCTCAAGGGCATGGAGGAGATTCCAGTCAGGTAGTTACTCTAGAAGAGCTGGACAGGGCCGTAGAAGGTCTTTAAGCCATCAGGACTGGTATCTGCTCCTTTGTGAAAGAAGGACCAGGATAAGCCCTACAAAATCACCTACAGCAGGTCACTGGTATGAATGTCTTTGTGCTCGCTGCCCGGCACCATGGAGCCAATTGCCATTGAATACTAGAACTGGGAGATCCACTACAAGCACCCTGTGCTTTTTCCTGGAGGATGAACCATTTGATATCATCGACTGGCCCTCATGCTCACCTGACCTACATCCAATTGAACACCTGTGGGACATTATGTTTCTGCCAGGTTGCACCTCAGACTGTCAGGAGCTCAGTGACTCCCCTGGTTCAGATCTGGGAGGAGATAGGACACCATGGACACCAAGGCCGTCTCGTTAGGAGCATGTCCCGACGTTTGGATTCAGTCCTTTGTAGGCTGATATTTTTCATTGTGACATCCTTTCCTTACCCGGTCCATAACAGCATAAATATCCATCCCGATTGTTTTTATGTGTGTTTTTATGGTTTCATTGTAGGTGGTCCAAAAGATTTGGACTCCAGCGTTTTGCTCTATCTCCTGAGCCACAGCCGCCCCATAAAAATGAATTCATGAGTATGACCATTAATACAATAAAGAGATTGTTTTGGTAAAATTGGCACGTTCCTAAGGATCCTATTAATTC